ACCGATGGAGATGCGAGAAATCGGAGTGAATCCAATCCATACTGCAAGTTTCAGATAAAATTGAAAATTACAAAAAAAGAACAGAAGGATGCATCTACTTAATTTAATTTTTAAAAAAGGAGAGTTGATCCAATAAAATTGTAAAGAGGTGGAGAATTAAAAATAAATAATTGGGTGAAAGAATTTAGTGGAGGGAGAGAAAGATTCTTTCTATGGAACAGAAAAGGAATCTAACGGCTGTAAAAGCTTGTCCTTTTTGGGGGACTTTTGGGGGAAAAAAACGAAAAGGAGGCATCTTTCCTCTTCCTTACAACAACAAGAACCACAACTGAAATCTCGGGTAATATCGACGTTGGGTCCCACACATCTTTAAGATTCGTTATCTCTAAGTTTCAATCACATCTGTCTTTGGGGTTTCGGTTTTTAATGTTGCTATTTGTAGATATGATAAATACTTAATAAATTTAAGGTTTATTAAATAATTTAATTATAATTTTTAATTTGTTTGAAATTTAGATCAAATTTTAAATAAAACAATTAAAATTTAGGTTTCATTCGAATAAATTATATATAATTAAAATATTATAATTATATAAATATATATTTTTATTTTAATATTTTGTTTTTAAAAAATTAGTTTTTTTATTTTTAAAAATTTTTTTAATTTAATGAATAGGTTTGAAATTTAATTTTTTAACTTAAATAGGACTTAAAAAAATTATTTCGGGTTAAACTGAATTTAAATAAATATATAAATTATTAGTACTAATTATAGTCATGCTTTTTGTTTTGTTGAAACATATGGTCATACTTTTTTTTTATGGGAAGGGTTCAACACCATTAAGGATGATACTGGTAGATATCTATTATTTTTAAATATTTATATTCGAATATGTTTAATATTTATAATATCTTAATTTATTTAAATTTAAAATTATTATCAAAATTTGAATCAATCAAAATATTAGTTTATTTAAATTTTTGGTTAAAATATAAAATAAATAAAAATTTAATTTAAAATTCAAAATTTACTATTAATTAATAACAAATAAAATGATTTATTAAGGTTTGAAAACTTATGTAAATATAAAATTTTATATGTTTTATATATGTAAATAAATAATAAATTTGAATACAAATTTGAATATTAATTATTATTTATTAAAATTTAAACAAATTTAAATATTAAATATTTAAAGAATATTATTTATATATTATTCAATCTATTATAAATAATAAATCTTTTATTTTAATCCATTATTTATCTATTTATAATTATTTAAGTCTAACATAAATATATTGAACAATGACATATATTCATTTATTTACTATACAATATCATCTCTAAATGCCATCCAATCATGGCAATTCAGTGTCCTTTTTCTCTCAAAGTTTTCATCATTAAAACTTGCATCCATCTCTTATAACAATTTCCCATTTGTATATTTGTTTATCTGAAAATATAATTTATGTATTTATATTATATTTTATATGAAAATAATTTTTTAAATTTTATATTAATATAAAAAATATAAAATAAATATTTTTTTATTTTTATCAAATTTATATTTTTTTTATTAAAATTTTAATTTATATTATTTTTATATTATATTTTAAATTATTATGTCCATCAGTCACCACCCTAAATTTATCACCGAATGATATAAAAAGCATCATTAGCTCGTTGATTAGGGTGACCAAAAAATATTTGGGTTGTAAGATTTGTTAATCATATCATATATAATATTATATTATAACATACATAAAAATCAGATAAAATTTATTTATATGAATATTTAAGTGGATAACTTATATTATTAACACGTAAGATATTTTCAAATAACTTTATTAAATCAAATATTTAATTTTTAAAAATTTTAAACTTTCAAAATTTACATTTATCAAAATCTTTCCAAATATATAAGATTTATCTTAATTTAAATCTAATAAAATATATCTTCTCATATTTTACTCTTATCCAATTCAAATAGTTTTTAAAGGTTAAATTTTTAAATCTTAAAAATCATACAAAAATTATACACCATCTAAATTAATATTCATATAAATTTAAATAAATAAAAATTTGTGGTTGAATCACTGTTATTTATTAATTTTTTTCTTGATTTTTTATAATTTAAAATAAAAGAAAAAATATTTTATCTCAATTCAAAATTACACACATATCTAAATTTAAAATTATATTAACTTCTTTTTATCTTAATTTAAAATTAAACTTTGATAAACTAAATTTTTAAAAATTTAGATTTTTTAAATTAAATAATTATTAAATATATATTTATGATTTTTTCTCACAATCAATATTTTTTTTCATCGTAAAAGTTTGACAAGATAAAGTTTCAAACTTAAATATGAAAAAATCTTTCATGATATATTATATGTGTAAATCTTAAGTTTTATATTAAAATGTGAATAAAAGATTAACTTTCTCATTAATATTTGTATATAATTTTACTTTCATAATCTAAAACTTTCATAATGTTTATTTAAATTTTTTTATAATAATTTATATATCACTAATTTTTTTTAATTTTAAACTATAAATTATAAATGATTATGATTATTTTTATTTATCTATATATAATATAAAAATTAATATAAATTAAAATTTTAACTATAAAAAAATATAATAAAAAAACTCCGTTCATGGCTCGGGTAAAAAAAACTAGTTTAATATATATTAGAAACTATTTTGGATAGATATGATTTGCCAACACTTTTGATGACCAATATTTCAAATACTTTAAACATTTTATAATAAGAAATTGAAAATATGAAAAAAATTTTATATTCAAAAAATATTTAAATTAAAATTTTAATATTTTATCAATAAATTATACGACTGAATAATTTTTTGGGTTAGTTAAGCAGAAAATGATTCTTTTCCGCGTTTTCTCTTTGTGGCAACAACTGGCTTATGCTAAAACCCAAAGATGCGTTTGGATGGCTGCATGGAACTTCGAGGGGAAAAGCTCAGCCGGCCATAAATTTGGGGTTTTGGTTTTGGAATAAAAGAAAAACGCCAAAAATTTCAATCCACCGAATAAACTAGATGGCAGATGCGTTCTAAGTGGGCCATTCCCCCCTTGAAACATGAGAAAAAAAAATAGCAATGATAAATAAATCCTTTTATTAAAATTATTTTATTGCCTAAATAATAAAAATAAAAAAATTAATACTTATTTTTATTGCTAAATAATAAAAATAAAAAAATTTAACACTTATCTTAATTGATTTATACTATTAATGTTAAAAATAACATTTAATATATTTAAAACTCAAATTTTAATATTTACATTTTATAAAACAAATAATGATATAATAAAAATAACAAATTAAATTTTATATCTCATAACTCTGGTATCGATTATATGAAAGATTAAAAAAAATCATATTAGATTATAATTTTAAATTTTTTTACGTTACTTATTTTTATCAATAACAATTTTTTCATTTATATCTTTAATTATCGTATTATTTTTTATTACTTATATTTACGTTTTTTGTGATTTTATCTTTAAAAATTTTAATTTTTTTTAAATTTAAAAACTTATTTCTCTTAATTAATGTATAAATAAATTTATATTTCGCATATATAAATATGTATCTTAGACTCTATTTGTTTTATAGAAAATTACTTTCGAAAATAATTTTCGTTTTTTCAAATGTTTGTTTTGGTAAAAAACTAGCTAACCAATGAAAAATTATTTCTTGGCCAATGAAAAATAAAATCATTTTTTAAAAAATTATCTTACAAATTTGAAAAGGGAAGACATTTAAAAAAATTTATTTATGAGTAAAACTATTTATAGAACATAATTTTACTTATAAATAAATAATATACTATTAATAAAATATATTAATAAATAATATACTATTAATAAAAATATACTATTAATATAATATATTAATAAATATTATTAATAAATAATATTATAATATATTAATAAATAATATAAAGAATAATAAATAGTTTTATTTTAAGTAATTTTTATATTAACAGAATATTTTAATATTAAATATTATTATTAAAATATAATTATTTGTAATATTCATAATTTTAATAATAAATAATTTTAAATATTTTAATAATTATATTAATATTATTTTAAAAAATAATTTCAAAAATAATTAAAAAAAATATTTTTTACTAATTTATTCAAACAATAAAAAATCACTTCCAATTCAAAAACTATAAACATTTTTAAAAATTGTTTTTTAAACTCAACCAAACAAAGGGTTTGGATTGAAATTTATTTCATGTAAAAAGTAAAATAATATTATACACGTGTTGGAATCTACATCGATATAGAAGACTAGGCCTTCGAATTCCACATTGGCTGGCCTTTGTTTCTCCCACAAAACAAAAGATTCTCGAGTCTTGACCAATCCCTCATCGGAAGTTGGGATTTGATTATTATTTTTTTATTGTAGTTTTCTTTTTTCCACTTTCTTGACTGCAACTCTTTCCATCACTAAAATATTTCCTCGTGGTTAAGTCAAATTGACCAAGTCCGCATGTGAACCTAATTCAAGATGCTTAAATCCCTTTTTTTTTTTTTTCAATAATTGATGAAAAGCCCTTCTTATGCATTATTGACTTTGTTCGTATTATAATCAATTTTGTATTACATAAAAATAAAAAATTAATTTATATTATTTTAAATATAATAAATTCTAAAAAGAAAATTAAATGATCAACTCTTAATTTTAATTATCAAAATTTAATTTTTAATCATTTTAAATATAATAAATAAATATAAAAGGAAATTACTGAATTTTTAGGAAAAAATACAGAATTACCAATTTATAATATTTATTTTAAAACACTTTGTTATTTTAGAGAAAAAAAAATGGTAAAACCCAAGTTGGAAAGAGTTAACTAGGGTAAAAAGGTGAGTGAACTCGGACAGATGGGCGAGTGGTGGATGGGATACGCGACGACTCGGAAGTGACTTTATAACCCAGAAACCGCAAAAAAATTCTTCCCGTTCCAATTTTCCCTTACCTTTTTTCCCACTCCTCTCCGAGGAAACAAGCTTTACTTTTCTGTCATTTTCTCTCTCTCCAAACGACAAACGCTTCTCTTTCACTCTACACATACATTTTTTTTATAAATAAATAAATAAATCTTTCACCCTCTCTCTATATATTCATTCATAGATCTCACCATTTGCCTTCTTCATTCCACCTCCTTTCTTTTTCAGCTTCAACAGACAAAAAAGAGAAGAGAAAAAGAACCCAAAGGAAGGAAGGTGAAGAGAAAGGAAAAGTATTGTGAGAGAAAAATAAGGGATAAAAAATGGGTTCAGTTCCACCAGAACTGAGCTTGGATTTTAGACCAACTTTTGTACCCAAAACGATTAGTAATTTTCTCAAGGAGGTTTCATTGATCGGAAACGTTTCTGATAAGGTTTCAAAACTCGATGCTTTTGTTGAAGGATTGGAAGAAGAAATGAGAAAGATCGATGCTTTTAAACGTGAACTTCCTCTTTGCATGCAACTTTTGAATGATGGTTCGTTTCTTCAATCAATTTAAACAACAATTTTCTTTTTTCTTACTAATGGGTTCCCTTTTTTTTTTTTTTGGAAAAAAACCCAGCTCTTGATTGAGATTTTGATTAAAAAAGTTTATGTATTTAGCTTGGTTTTTTTATTTTTTGATCGTTTTGGTCAAAAGAGTCGGTTTCTGTAACTTGGTTTTGGTTGTTTTTGAGATTCTAATCAATTTATTTAATGCAATCTTGATTTTCTGTTTGGTTGCAGCGATTGCAGCTTTGAAAGAGGAGTCAATGCAATGTATGGCGAGAAATGTTGAACCAGTTTTAGAAGAATTTATTCCATTGAAGAACAACAAGAATGAAAATAATCGCAGTGAAGAAGATGGTGCGTTAATCACCACCAAAAAGGAAAAAGATTCTAACAGCAGCAACTGCAATAGTTTTAAGGACAAGAAAAATTGGATGAGTTCCGTTCAGCTTTGGAGCACTGATGATGATTATTGCTCAACCGATCACAAAGTAGACACTAAGGTACCTAAAAAAAATAATAATAATAAGACACCACATTGAAGCCAAAGAAGTTGTTTATGATGAACTAAATTTGCTAAAGATTGAATACTGTTTATTGGTTTGCTACAGAAAAACGATGAAGATCCATTTCAACGATGTAAAATCAGGGGAGGAGCGAGAGCCTTTATGCCATTCAAGGCAAATTTGGGTTTTGCAGTGAGGAAAGAAGAGAAAGAGGGGATACCAATTCATGGACTAACGCTTTTGACTCCTGGAATCAAGAATCTGAAAGAAGAATCAGGTTCCACAGGATCAAGGATAAGTTGTAGCAGAGCAGTTTCTTCTTCTGCCCCCAATGCTCAGTCGAATTTTCGGTCTGGACAACAGTCGCTGTCCCATCACCAGCAGCAGCAGCAACAACAGCAGACTGCTAGGAAGCAAAGGAGGTGCTGGTCACCTGAGTTGCATCGCCGGTTTGTCAATGCCTTGCAGCAGTTAGGAGGCTCTCAAGGTGAGGAAATGAAGGTCAATTAGAGTTGTGTTTAGCCGTTGATAGTTTGGTTTTTGTTCTCGGGTCTTCATTTTCTTGTCCCGAGTTTGATTGTTTATCGTTATAATCATCTAGATAAGAATTAGGAAGTTTGGTCAATGGGAGATTGGATTTGCAGCAATTTTCTGTTCTTCTATCACTCAATCTGATTTTGCTTTTGAAATGGGAAGTATAGATTAGAGTCGGTCGAACAATTATCTTTTTTGTAATCTGGCTAAAAGATATATGTATGAATTATGTATGCATAATTCCTTTGGTTCGAGTCCATGGAGGATAAAAGATACTTAGAGCAAACTGGAGATTCTGTAATATTAATCATTCTGTTGGGATCATTGGATTGCGGTGTTCACTTTGATGGTAGTTTACATTTGATTCTTTTGACTTTCAAGTTTCTAAGTCAAATTCAAAATTTTTGCAGTAGCCACTCCAAAGCAGATTAGGGAACTTATGCAAGTAGATGGCTTGACCAATGATGAAGTTAAGAGTCATTTGCAGGTGTGTTCTTAGTCCCTCTTCTTTCTTGGTACTTTGATCGCTGAAAAGAGTGAAAAGGGAGAAATTTCTGTGTCTTACTATTTTCCAGAGATTAATGGTTCTCTGAAGTTTGTTTATCCTTTAGTTTTCTCTTAAGTTTTGATGACGAGTACTTATGGAAGAATTTTCCTGGCATTTTAGAAATACCGGCTTCACACAAGAAGACTTCCACCTTCCACAACCAACGCTGCAAATCAATCAGTCGTTGTTTTGGGTAGTGGTCTGTGGATGTCTCAAGATCAGTATGGAGATTCCTCCAAGGGAAGCAGTTCTGAATCTGGTTCTCCTCAAGGTCCTCTTCAGTTAGCCACAAACACTGGAGGGACCTCCACTACAGGAGGTGACAGCATGGAAGAGGATGAAGATACAAAATCTGAGAGCTATAGCTGGAAAAGCCATATTCAAAAACCCGGAAAAGATGATGTATAGCGTTTATCCACCTTGAATTTTGCAGATAAAGTATACATGGGAGGAGTCTGTGACCATAAAAATTATTATATACTATTACTATATAATACATAAAGGAGAAGGATCTTGGGAAATGACTGAGGCTGTGAAATTTTGCAGGATTAGCTTTCCTTCAATCTTGAATTGAATTTTTGTTTTCTTCCGGAACTATTACAAAATTTCCAATTATGATCCATGTTTTCATGGAAGAAACATGAGCACTATTCCCATATTCATAAAACTATAGCTTCTCTATTACTTGCTCAAACACATTGAACCTCTGTTTGCTAGCTAGCTTTCTACCATTTTGAGGTTTTAGAAATGCTCAATTGAGATATTTCCATTACCAAATTATAATAGCCTCTTTGATAGTTCCACAAAGTAACCATCTATTGCTGGTTGTTCTATTTACACATGCACGGTGTACGCCTCCATTTTCCCACGGAAAGTATCTCAATCTTTTCAACATACGGGCAACAGTCCTAGAAATGTCCTTGAAGATTAAGCAAAGCAAACATCGGCCTTCAATGGTACAACTAACAACTAAAGAACTTGACCCCTCATTTTCCTACTGCCCCATCGGGTGGGTCACTAGGTCAGTGTATTTAGCTCGGGGGTAGATTGATCATTGATGGATGGGTTATAGTGGTATTTTGGTAATTATATAGCCCTTTAAGGTCGTTATGATACTAACCAGGATGGGCATAAGCGTATGTTGACATTTATTAATTTCCAACGTTTAGATTGATGGGTGACAGTGGTTTGGTTGTACAAAATGACAGCCGAAGATCCGGATTTATCTTGGAAAAGAATATTTTAGGGTTCTTATTCCCTTATTTGTCTTATAGTTATGTACAATCTCAATTATTCTAAGATGCGGTTTCTTATATTTAGTGAAAACTGAAAAGATAAGTGTGGCATGTCAACAGTTGGCATGTGGAACTTCCAGATTCAGCTCACCAAAATTCTGTATCATTCCCCAATTGAAGGACTGTTTGGCAAACGAGAAACCTCACCAGAAACGAGTATGATCTTGGCCTAATTTGCAGATTACTTATATGTTAAATGCAAAGTAACAAATAATTTAAACTCAAATTTTAATTTAATTGATTTATATAATTATTTTAAAAATAATATTTAATTTTAAATTTTAATATTTATAATTTTTTTTTATTTTCAACCTACGATTTCTTATATATATATAAAAAAGAAGGTTAAAGCATGATGAAGCATAGATATCAACTCTCTTTTTTCATGAAGAAGTTGGTCTAGAATTCAATATATATATATATATATATATATGTTCAAATTTCATGTGATAACTGCTTGATTAATTTTAGATATTTATCAATAATTGGGTCTTGACTGCTACAAATTAAACCATTTTTTGGCCCTTTTTTTTCCATGTATGGTCATTCCTTCCATTAAGTTTCCAACAAAGTAAGTTCAATTTCTTTCTGTTTTCAGAAATATGCATGCACCATAAGGTATGATCAACCTATCAATTCACACAAAGTTTGAACCAGCTGGTGCAATTATATGGTCTCCAAACAGGCTGTTAATAAGTCAAATTGTTCAAAACATTCACATTTTATCCTTCCACCTAATCCAGTCATATCCCACTAAAAAACACAATCAGTTGTAATGTTTAGCTGAGGAGCATGACAAAAAAGTCACTCTCACAAGCAAAATAATAGAGAGAATCTTGTAGACAAGATATAATGAAAGGAGCCCACAATGAGAGGTACCCTTTAATATGCATTTATTATATATAAATTGGTTCGGTGAAAGAAGTGAGTGAAAATGATGGAACCTCTCATTAAATTGGTTGGGAGATAACAGCTTACATTTTGAAATAATAATAAAAAAAAAGCATTCTGTTCAGAAGAAGATGGTGAATTAGAATATATGCAGCAGCTGAGCACATTGGGTCCTCACATGGCAAAGCTTAACAAAAATATATGAACTTGGTCCCCACCAAGGAAACCATTCCTATAAAAGATTCCTTCAGAGACTAGCCATGGATTATGATCCCTATGATGGGTATAGCATAATCATGATAGTTTTAAATGGAAAGGAAAGTATTTGGTGAAAGAGACCAATCCCAGGAACACTACTAAACAAAGTAAAGCAAGCTTTTTTCAAATTCTATCCAGCCAGGAAATCTTGTTCACCAAATCACTAGTATTTTGCTTTGCACTGATTTGTAATCATCGATGTTAAGACTATTTACATTGTTCATGCCAGAGCAAACAACATTGAGTTCAATCATCAATGTAATCCAAAGCATTTTTTTGGTGACTTAACCATTTTATTAATCAAAGTTGTCCTCTAGTGAGATTTTTGTTCTGTTTTTTGCACCAACTTTTTTCTTAAATTTCTCAACCAAATTTGGTTGAAGAAAGGAACAGAAAACTTTGATTGTTCCCAGTTCAGGCTTTCAGCCCAAACATTAAGTACGGAGATTGGAGCTTGTGATTGCAAATCCTATGGTTGGTGTCTCAATATTTTACCATCACCTTCTGTTTTGTGCATCTGTAGATTCCTTTTCTCTCACAAAGCTAGAAACCCAGCCCCCAAATATGGTCAGAACCATTAACTGTCTAAGTCCTTAGGTCTGAACCCAATTGCCATATATGTAGGCTTAGTTGGGCTACCCTCGGTTAAGCGAGTCTCGAGCCCATTTTGCCTACAGTCTTCCAAAATCTTTGGATCAAATTCCTGAAAATTACTAAATCACTGTCAGACGACACGGGGCTTAAGGGATTGGATTTGCAAAGACAAAAGAGAGAGAGAAGTAAGGTTGGTGTTGATGGACGCAAGATCCAAACCAAAAGCAACGGTCATGATTAAGAAATCCTTTCTCTTCTCTGCATTTGGGCGCCAAACATGGAATTAATATCAAATTTGCAGTTAATATACTTCAGGAGAGAAAGAGATCAAATCTAAGTTTCAAAGACATTAACTGAACCGAACGAAGACTCACACACACACACAGAAACAGTAGGTTTGTAAGAAAAAAACAAAGCACAAAGATACCAAAACAAAAAAAAAGATATGGCATAAGCACATTATGAGGAAAAGCCTAAAGAAAAACCCCAAGAAAAGTTTAAAATGAAAGTTGCCAAGGCAGCAGCAAAAACAGCGATCACTTGTATTAGTGGTAGTACCAGTGCCAGCAGCAATGGTGTAACGTTCAAATTCAATGCACAAGCACCAGAATTCGTGCCCAGATCGCATACCCAAATGCCCGTTTCCGGTTATAATTACCCTTGTTTCCACTATCTTAGTGGTGCTGCTGGGTCTGATTGGTTCTTTGTTGGTGACCAAGAAGCTGCTGCTTATTTGATCTCTAATCCTACTCTCTCAATCCCCCATTGTTCTTCCAAGAATGTGCTCACAGAATATCTCCGCCAAAAGATCATCAAACAGGTCATCTTTTTTTCTTTTTACTTGGACTAGCAAATTTTCTTCTGGTTCAAGTATTAACAAGGAAATAGAGTTAAAGTGCATAACCAAGTAGTACTCATTTTCTTGACCGTCAGTTTTGCATGGTGTTTACAGTTAACCTGTCTGTTTGGCTCTTCAGTTTTCCGGAATTAATAAAGATTCAAATAATTTATGCTAGCAGCATACATTACGATATCTGATTCTAGAAAGGACAATTTCTTGAATTGTTTCTTTTAATCAAAGAGAAACTCTTTCTACTGCTCTGCAACCTTTCCTCAGAACATGTTTTCAATATCGTATGAGCAAACCTTATCAGGAGAACTAATGTTCCTATCACCGAAATGTTCACTATTTAAACTGATGAAAGTTGGTTTTGACTTGTTCCTGTGGGAGTCTCAAACAAATTTCCCGTAAAGTTAGATTTTCCGCATTGCTATGTGCACTGGTTATGGCCCCAACTTGCTTTTTCTATTCACACTGTGAAAATAGTATGATCCTAATACTGTGTATAAAACAGGAGGAATACCAGTTCAGTGACATGAGCCTTCTAGCCAATGAATCTTTGTCAAAGCAAATAAGTAAAGATCCGAAGGTTATGGTAAGGGAACTTATGATTCTAGCAGTTGTTCTTATCTTTTCAATTAAAACAGTTTTTCACTGATACGTATTGGCTTTGCTTTTGTGCCCATATCTTTCATTGCTTCTACAAAGAAAACCAAGACCCTCATCAATAGCAACCAATTGCTGGCCCAAGCACTTAGGTCCTTTTCAAAGCTTGTAAATTCTTTACAGTTTCATTATTCTTTTTGAACTGTAAAAGTCAAACTAAATATCTACAGCATTCTCTTCATTTTGGTTTTTCAAGTAATATCTTTGTTCTTTTTATGTGCCTGAAAGATTGTGAGTGATGATGGAAAGAAGGTTAGATGTAAACACCCCTTTCACTAAGAAGGATAGAGAGGAAGTGCAGGTAACATATGGGAAATCTCATAAATGAACATGCTGTTTTCCTTCAGTATTTTGGTCTTTTTGTATGGTGCAAATTGCACCCTTCCTTTTTCTTCTTTTGCAGTCTCATACCGTTGTTGTAGAGAATTTGCCTGAAGATCACTTTCATCAGAACCTTGACAAAATTTTTTAAAGTTGTCGAGAGGTTTTTTTTTTTATTTTTTTTATGTTGTATGTCCAGAAGGTCTCTTTTGCAGCAAATACTAATAGTGTTCTGATACAGTGTGAATAGCATCCGAATAAGTCATCCCCGAGAATCCAAGTCTTCCTGCTCTGAAAGCAATCCTTTTATGTGTAACAAGGTATGCAGGTTGGAATTAAACCTATTTTCTTATTTAATCCTAGAGATTAGTAGACAATTTCTGTTATAATGCCTCTTTCTTTCCTTTTTTTTAAGCTACATGCACTTGTGGAGTAGGATTTGATATGGATTGCTGAGAAAGCAGTATGTTAATGCAGTAATATTGATGCAAGTGCTAGAACTTCTAGGTGTAATTAATTGTTTCTATACTTAAATTCCTGCTTTTGCAATGCCATTCAGAGCTCACTTGCTTGCCCCAGGTTGATATTCATAATATTGTGTCCTTCACATATGATCTGTTTACATGATTCTCCTTGATTGAAACCATTTATAACTTTTTATGTTGAAATGAACATGAGCCAAAATCTGGTCTGAGAAACGGAAAATCAGAATTTGATGGCATATTAGACGAGGACGATTCACCACTCACTGAATACTCTGAAGATTCCTCTCAGCCAAACAATGCTGAATCAATTGAGAATAATGTAAGCATAAATGTTGTTTTAACCATTTATATTATATGGTTTCTAACTATAGATCAAGAGAACTGATAGCAGTAATGTTTGAAGCATATTTTGTTTAGACTATTGCGTTACAAGCTCACATGAAAAATTCTATTCTGGTAGAGTAGGCTGAGGATAATGGAGTGGAATCAAAAACGGGATGGGGTGAAGGGCATGGGAAGGGCCGCAGCCGCGTTCAAAACCACAGTGGACGCGGCCTGCTTGCTGCATTTCCTCAACATAGCAATGCAGTGCAATGTGAAGCATCTGTGAAAGAGACGTCTAAGGGCCCAAGAATGCCAGACGGAACCAGGGGTTTCACCATGGGGTGAGGCAAGCCATTAAGTTCACATTTGGAGTGACGGATGGTGCTATATTAACCAACTACAATGGGAAATAGCTCTGCTTTTCCTGAAAGCAGGAAATGGTTCAGTAGCTATGCATAATCTGGGTTATGTTGAGTATGGGTTGGGATTCAGTTTTCTGTAATAAATTCGTAATCTGTCCGAACAATGCAATTGAAAGGTTACTGTTTCTCTCTTTCTCCCATTGTTCTAAACAATAAAAAATAAAAATGGTGCAATTTCAAACACGATATAAATAAAGTATTAACATGGGAAACATGTGTTTCATGAGATTTAATTTTAACAATAAGCTCTCAAAGAGATTATTTATTATATAAAAAAAAAAAAACAACACACTTAAAAGCAAGAGTTGATGAAAGGAACCTAGTATTAAAAAGATCTGAAGCTTATTATTTCACCGAAAAACTATTGTTTAATTATATTTATTTGAGAATTTATGTTAACTGCCCTATTAGCTTAGTTGGTTAGAGTGTCGTGAAACAAAGGTTTCTCTGATATACTTAGATCACCCAATTTGTGTAATACATATCAAATTCAGCATAGGGTTTTCGCTACATCAATGGCAAAGCTTGGTGTGCTCAAAGGGACAAATTAGAAAGAAGTGCATGTCTGTGAACTTATAAATTGCTAGGATTTCAAATGTTGGTCTATACTCTATGCATGGAGCTGTTTAGTCAAAGCACAAAGTAAGGTTGCCAATATACTAATAATTTGGTGTTTCTGTGTCATTTACTCTATCAGGAAAAATGCAACAAAACTCTACCCTTGAGAATCATCAGAAGGCATGAAAACCACTAAACTCTGTATTCCACCCAGCTGAGCTAGACAGCTACACATTTTATATTATGCTTTTTTCTTTTCCCTTCCCTTTTGGCTGCCAACTTTCACTTGGTATCAAGGTCAGTTACTTTTGAGTTTTGAGGTGAAGATTAGGCACAAAATGCACATAGATTCAACAAAGAAGCCGACAAGGAGTGCTTGGACTCAAAAAGGGCTGTAAAGAAAGCTGTTAGATGCCTGACCAACCTTTGTACAGCCCCCATTGAAATCTATGTCCTTTTTGTCTTTTAAAAAATACCCATCTTGTTCTCTCAAATATCAATCTTTTCTGTTTTTGTTTTGTGTATTTGGATGCCTCAAAACTATTGTACATCATGAACTATCATCATCATCATCATCACTCAAAGATGTATGTATTCTCTGCTTTCAGATTAGATTCTCCACACTGACTCCTGACCTGTTGTGGTGTCTACTAGACACACACCTTCAGCTTCAAAATTCAGATCCGAGATAGCTAAAAACATTAAAAGATCTAACCATTTTGCTGGAATTGAAAATTTTGGCTATCTTTTCAAGTACTTTTTTTTTTTTTATGTCCGTTTCATTTATTCATCATTCAATCATTTTCAATGAACATTGCTTTCATCTTTTAAATGCAGCATTAATATGTTGATTCATCATCAGCCCCTTTATGATTAGGGGATTCTGATGGTCTTGTTTATGCTTGGCAGCATTAAATCCTTGGAACCATGATTGCAGAATAATGGAAAAATACTCTTTGTGTACAAGTATAATTCCTTTCTTTCTCTTAACAAACTCAAACTTCAACAGTGAAAAATTATATAGTTATAAAAGTATTGATCTGAGACAATCAAAACCATCTGCAATTGTCACTTCCCTGAAACTTACCTAGTTATAAACTTACATTCAACAAATTTAAAACTCAAATTCCGACATTTAATATAGTATTTTCATCAAAATTTTTATATTTAATATATTTATTTATCAAATTCAAGGAAAAATATTACATTAAATTTTTTTTAAAAAATAACATCAGGATACCACCTACATCTAGCTATCGTTAAGGATGATAGACTCATCCAGCTAAATCCCATGATTGAGGGATGGGGGTAAAACAAAATGGAATAAAGAGATGGAGCAATTGGCCTAAAGTTTGAACTTTATTTGCAACTTTTTGGTAATCCAAAAAATAAAAATATCATATAATAATGGCTTTTTTTTTTAAAAAAACTTTTTGAGCTTTAACAAAGGCAAAGACATCCAATGGCCCTATAAAAATATAAAAACAACTTTGAAGAAGCTAATAATGAGTTGGCTTCATCGAGCAAGGCAGCTTAGGCTCCATCCAATGCATTCGAAAAGCATTCCTCATTGAAAGTGGAAAAATGAAAGGAAAAGAAACAAGATGAAAATAACTCTCTATCCTTAATTTCTTTCTAAAAAATCACAGCAATTTAATCAAATTTACTAGATCATGACCTTCCATATTAACTACTTGATTTTGGATTTAGAAGGATGAAATAGGAATGAGTGAATTAAAATAACAATAGTAAACAAAAACACTAATGATTTCAATAATATCTTCTTTCATCCATTTATAGGACAAATAATAAAATAAATACACATATATATATATACATATATACATATATACATGCGCACACGTATTTATTGAAATAATAAGAATAAAAATGTTATAAGCAAAAATTATATAATAAAAAAATGTATGTGAGCTTTTTTCTTTAAATAAAGGAAGTTTGGATTATGTGGATAAAAAATTTATAAATATTGGTATTTGAATTTTAAATTTTTTAAATATTATTTTAAGAATAATTTTATAAATTAATTGAATTAAATTTTAAATTTTATGTTCTTGTAATAAAAAAACTCTGCAAATTCAGACAAGTAGAGAAAGGGGAACAACTTCAACTCTTGTAATGGACAAAATCCAAAACTAAAGTTTAGGCGTGCATTTAAGCAAATTAAACTGCAGGATTCATTGTTTTTTCTTTTTTTTTTTTTTTTTTCAAAGCAGAAATCTTTGTCGATACGGAGAAGTGTAGTTAAAAATAAGGCACTTGTCCATTAAGTCCTTTTGGGCTTTTCCCTCTTCATAAAAAAAAAAATTTGTCAAAAAGTAACTTTTGAATAATTTTTACTGTTTTGCAGTACATTAATGTAAGAATTCCAGAAATATCGCTTTCCATTTTCGCCTCCGCCCTTCACAATTTTCACTTTCCCACCGCTTGCTTTCCCTTTAAGTATTTCACTACTCAGATCAAAATTACTTTTTCTCTTTTTTTTTTTTTAATACAAATTTGAGTAAGTATATTATTTAATCTCTTAAGTATCTTATATTTTAAAATAGATGATTGAAAATTATGTATTTAAAATAATTATATTTAAAAAATTATCAATTTGATTCGAATTAAAAATATTTATATTTAAAAGAATAATTTTTATTAATTAAATTAATTGTTTATTTTTAATTACTTGTTCTCTTTCAAGCAAAACTTGAGCTCATAAAGATAAGCAATAGTTTAGGGAAATTAGAAAAAAAATGCAAGCATTAATATTGAATTAAGAAAATAAATACAAAATAATCCTAAAGCTTTAGGATTAAGTAATGAGTTACTATATCCCGTCTTTAACACTACACCGTTTCTCTATCTCCTAAACCCTTTAAAAACCCATTAAATTCATCATCTTTTTCCTTTTTGTGATCCAAACTTGATACAGAAACAAAACCCCACTTCTCACTTACCATTTTCATCCATTCTTATTGCGAACTAAGAAGTTTAAACCCTGAAAAAACCCCAAAAAATAATAAAAGAAGCATCTTCAGATATACGTATATTTGAAAAAAGTTTTTTTTTTTTTTTTTTTCTAATTTGGCGATGTCTACACCATTAGAGCAGCAGCAGCCACCACCTGTAGGAGAGAGCCAACAAGCCTACACGGCCTATACTGGCCGCGGGTCGGTTGGACCCGTCATAGCCGTTCTATTTGTGATCACAATCCTTGGAGTCATAGCTGGCATGATTGGGAGGCTATGTTCAGGGCGTCCTATCATGGGCCATGGTCAGTACGATTTTGAAGGTTGGGTTGAGAGGAAATGCTCTTCTTGCCTTGACGGTCGGGTCGACGCTCCTCCGCCGGCGGAGGAGGTGCCGGAGGCGGTGCCTGCAGAGGAGACACTACAAGAAATCAAAGAAGAAGAGCAGGGACAAGCTCATGTTCAAGGACAAAAGCAACATGGAAGTAGCAGTGAATCTTGATTATTAATTATTCTTGGGTGGTTCTTTTTTTTCCTTTTGCCTTCATGGTTATACTCTCACTGTACGCGAACAAATGGATTTTCATTTTTCATTATTAGACTTTGTTAATTTTTAATGTTAATGCCTCTCTTGGGTTCCTTTATGATTCATTCATGAAAATATTTGGATTGAAAAGAAACAATTTTTTTAAGAAATACCCTAAACATAGAACTTTAAATTTAATTTATTCATAATATCCAACATATTTAAAATTTAAATATAATTTTTTTATTCCAAATTATGAGGTTTCTTTAATAAAAAATTTATTTGCAATTATTATACGTAATAATAATTAAGATGACCATGCTTAGTATCAGCTCGAGGTTTGATAATTTGAGTTGATATTTGGAGTTCCAATTCTGAGAGAGAAACGAAATTACAATTTATAAAATAAAAAAAATTACTTCTCATTTGTAACTTATTAATTATGATAGTAATTATTATATATGATCAGCAAATTAGGATTATCAAATTGTGAATTTTGGGTAATGATACTAATGGTTGCATTGCTGCATACTTTGAGTGTGGCTATGTAGTTTTGTTGAGTCTTTCAGCTTTTGGGTGCTTTATTTGCATACCTGATTATTGTCTTCATTTATTTTCTATTGGGGGTTTCCATTGGATTCGCTCTTTTCTCATTCTTCTTGTTTTCTGTGTTAACTATTCTTAAGTTTGCAGTCTCAACACAGATTGCATTTTTAATGTTCACATTCCTTTGTTAGAAACTTGAGACAGACCAGAATTTTGGCTGTCGAGATGCCACTTCTGGGATTCTGGATTCCCTAACCAAGACAGATACAGTCATTAATGAAACAGTGGTGAAAATGTTGTTAACGGATGAATTTGTGTATTCATTTCGTATAAAATATTAAAATTTTATATTTATATTGTGTTTTATATGATTAAATATTATAATTCATATTAATACGAAAATAAAAAATTTTAATTTATTTTATTAAATATATATAATTATTATAATTTTAAATTATGTTATTTTCATATTATATTCGTGTCATATCACTATATTATGTTTTAGATTATCGGATATCAATGTTATTTAAAATTAAATAGAAAACTGGTTATTCCAATGCAATTTGTGTCTGCTTGATTCTTTCTAAAATGTGTCTAAATCATGTAAATTTTTTACTTGCCAAACATATGCAAACAAATTATACCTAATAGTTTAGATGATTGAAATGATTTGATTCACACATTCATCAGTTCAATTTTTCAACAAGAAATAGCTGATAATGAAAATCACATGCATTTCAGCCAAAAAAAGGTCACATGCAAAACATGAATCTTGTTTTTTTTTTTTTTTTTTTTCAAATCAGCAACCAACGAATCAATTGAATGAAAGTTACAGGTGATGGGACTTGAATATAAATTCTAAAAATTTCAAAATCTTTTCTTTATCATTGAAATAAGGTTCCATAAGGAACCCATATGGACAACAATCTTTAGTTCTTAGATGGTAATAAGGTTTAGTAATGTAATTATCAAACTTACCAGTACTTAAAACTTTTCATTATCATTAGCACGTGACACCTTATATATAGCAAAGTAATAATGTTTCTTTGCTTCACGTGAATCAGTAACTTTTAATAGAAAGTCGGTTTAATTTCAATGAATCACCAAATTCACCGAGTACTCACTTTCTCATCGGACAAACAAGAGGATAAAAACTAGTGCAAGACAGATGGGAAAGTGGGTGTTCAAAGTTGGGACACAAGAAAATTCTTTTGCCCTTAACCAGTCAAAAATTTTCAAAAACAAAGAAAAAATATCATGGCAAATTTGACTTGCAGTAACCCATTTTGTAGGATGGCAGTAATATCAGTACTTCAATAAGAGCATCACATGGTTATGGGATCATACCCAAAAAAACATAGTTGATTTTGAAAAAAAAAAAAAAAGCATGTGATTTGGGGCAGCTTTTGTCTCAGGTCAGCCACCTCCATCCATTATCAACTATCAACTCAAATGGTGAAAAAAGGTTACTATCGGTACAGTCACTGGGTACAAATCTGTACTGTCCTTTCTTTTTATACTGCTACTATCCATTTAGTTTTCGTCCAGCTCCTGGATTCTGCTGTTAGTCAAATCTTGGGGTGGCAACTTCTGCAATAAAACGAACCAGTTCCTGGATTTAACCACTTTGTTAATCACGTTGTTAAAAGCTTGATTAAAATAAATTATCAGGATTGATTATTGGGGCTCTTCTTTGATTAATTTAGATCAAAGTATGTCTCCAGGTGATAAGACTAACATTAAAAACAATATCTTTTGTCCTTTTTTTTTAGAGATGATCTTATCCATAGTTGCTTTTCAGAATAGGAATTTCACTCTGAACTCTTTACTGGTCCAATTGTACCCAAAGAGAAAAAAACAGTTGAAAATGATTACAAACCTGTTGCTGGGTTGATGGCCTCTGAGGAAGGAAAATTGGGCTTTCTGGGCTGTTAGCTGTTTAATCTTCTAAAGCCCATATTGGCATCCTAAAGACAGTTTCACTGCCCAAATATTTTTGAATGTAGACAATAAGCCCGAGAAGAATGGTGACAATTGGGATTCATGGCCTGCGGCTAATGCTTAAAATAGAGACAACATTTCGTGGTATCTACCATTTTGCCTGTAAGGCTTTGACCTCTACTAGAGGTTGTTTTCGGTGGGAGTGAGTTTGATGGTAACCCGACGGTTACGTTGGAAATGATTTGTAATAGAAAAGTATAGTTAAGAAACGTTAGAGTTAGTTATGATTTGTAATAGAAAAGTATAGTTAAGAAACGTTAAGAGTTAGTTTTTTATCTGTTCGGATACTCAAGTCAATCAAATGATTAAAGTTTTTTTAGAGAATGACGTAAAGTTATAAAGAATGTGAAGATAGATTAGTGAAAAAGGGTATAGAACAACGAATTTAATTTTTTTATTTATTTTATATATGAGATAATGGATAATAATGTAATCGAAGTTGTTAATAGTTGATAAAAAAAATCACGTAGATTAATATAAATTACATTTAATGATCTTAAATTAATGTGAATTACATTTAATAATTTAAATAAATTAAAAATCAGTTGATCTATTATAGAATAATATTTTAATGAAATGTGAGTGTTGATAGTTGAAAAAAGTCTATTTATGGATGAAATGTTTAAAAAAAATTCGTGTTACGATAAAAAATTTAAATGTCGATTTTCTTTAATAATGACATGACAATAAAATACATACTAACATAACAAATGTAGGAATTGATCTTGAGTGGATAAATATAATACCTTTATAAATGCTTCACATTCAGGTTGCCATATCTAGTGCTTAATCGCTCTATGAAAGTGGTTTTATCTAGGCAAAAGGTTGCCTTCTCTCATGTTTCATGGATTTTTTTATCTTTGTTGGGCTACTCTTCGCATATCAAATATAAATATCATTTTCAACATTGTATAATCTGTTTATCTTTCTTTTCTCTCTCTATTTTAATGCTTTAGGACGAAAAACCTAATCAATCAATCCCTTTCGAAGGTGCATCCCTTTGTAGGGTTTGATGCAAGCTGATCTCCAAGCTAATCCATTGTTTTTCTATGAAAACTTCCAAACATTTCACTGTAACTTCCATCGTGTTTTCATTCTCAAAGCTTCACTATTTTTTTTTTCAAATAAATAATCTAATAAAACATCAATATGCAAACTTAGGATTTAGTTCAAACGATTTCAACAAAATTAAATTCGATTTTCTAACACTTACAAACTCTCGTTTCTTGATTTTCATTTAAACTTTGATATCCTTAACAGGGAAAAAATATATCAATGGAAAGTTTGTTGTATTCCCATTGTCTTCTCAAAAGAATATAGCTATGCCTGAGTCATACTTGCATGGACTCAATTTTCTCATGCAAAAACAAGCCACGATCGTTGATATAAGTGGCAGCAAGTTGTAACTTTTTTGCCACACACCCTCCCCCTAATTCAAAATTGGGTTAGCCGTTAGCCATTGTTGTTTATGCCTTTGAATGGACCCACATCGAGGCTGGTTGGGTTTCCCTTGGATTCAAAACCACTGATTTTTGGCAATGGAATTAGAGTAGATCCTTAGGAAAATAGTAGCAGTACTGTTCTACTGCCATTGACATTTTTAAGGATGCTGCAATGAAAACCCCAAAATCAATGTCCTGAAAAGCATATACAGAGAAATACAAACAAGGGTTATCAATGAAAACAAGCACTGTATTGTATAATTATTTATACAGCAAAAAAAAAAATAATAATAAGCACAGAGAGAGGGGAGCAGACCAGTGCTTGTTGCGTACTCAAACTCCAAAGAGTGACCCCATTTTTATATTTAGAATAATAAATTAAATTAAAAAAATAAAAAGCAGGACTAGGGTTTTACAGAGAAGAAATAGAAGTCTCTAGAGACACACAAACAAAGAAAGAGTCGGTAATTTTTGTATATACATATATATACATATATATATATATATATATAAATACAAAAGCTGTATAGAAACAAAGAGAGAGAAAGAGAGAGTGAAAGGAAAAGACTAAAGACAGATAAAGTGGGAATATATATGATGAGGAGGCAAAGGTGTTATTTGCATGTAAGTACAGGAAAAGAGCTAGAAGGAAGGATAATAGTGGAACTGTTCAATGATGTGGTACCTAAAACTGCAGAGAATTTCAGGGCTCTTTGCACCGGTGAAAAGGGCATTACTCCTAACATTGCTGTGCCTCTTCGCTATAAGGTCCCTTTCTCTTTCTCCTCCCCACCCCCGCTTTTTCTTTTTTTAATGTAGGGGGTTTGCTTATCTGGGTTTATGTTGGTTTTCTTATGATTTATATGAAATGACTTTCATGTCATTGAACTTATTTGAAGTCATGAGATTTTTTGCTTCTCTTTGTATTGTTGGAATGAAATATTGTTTCTTTTCTTTTTTACTCTTTGAATTAGTTGTTTTGGGTAGAAAGAGTCTAACTATTTGAGTAAAGAGAAATCCAGGATATATTTACATTGTTTGTTTCCTGATATTGTATGAATGTAATTAATGTTGAACATTAATTTTCAATCTTGAGTCGATATCGCTACTTGATTTTTGTGATGGATCTTTTGAACAAGAACAAATTTTCCTTGATTTTGCAATTTTTTTCTGAAAAAATCCCTCCATGCTCATTCTTTGACTTAACGGTAAGATATATACATGAAAGGAAAGGAATGTTATCTATGCTAGTTTCATTGATTAGTGATTGTATATATCCTTTTAATTCAGGGTGTTCGTTATATCTAGTGGAGATGGTATTGGAAGATAGTCAAATTATGGTTTGAAATTTGAAGATAAAATTTTCAATTGAAACATGAAAGGAAAGGAATGTTATCTACGGCAAATGTGTTGGGGAAATAAACCATATTTGGAGTCCATGAAAGTATATTAGAGAGTTCATATATATATATATTAGACATTAATTGAGTCAAAAAGCTTAAATTATTAGGTTATTGGGTCATTCATGCATATATAAGACATTTCATTTAGATTTTCTAATAATGTGAGATTCTTTACTCATATGTAAATCTAACAATCTTCCATGTTTACTTGTGAGTTCTAATTAAGTCTCACTTCAACTCTCCCATGCGAATAAGTCCTATCAACACCTCTTTTGGGTCAGACAATCTCACATTTTTAGTGTACTTTTGGACTAGGGCACAGCACTCAACCTAGCTGCCTAAGTTGTCGGTTGTCTCAGTGCTCCTTCAAGCTTACACTCCAAGTTGACTCAATACATCACCGTGTTCGGCTTCTGCATATTATCATAGACTCGCTGCATCCAAGTCGAACCTTTTAATACCGATATTCGTTTCTACATACTATCATAGACTCACTGTATCCAAGTCGAATCTTTTAATATCGATGTTTGAGCACATGGAGTAATCTCCTCCCAGCAATACTACTGAGACTCAAACCCGTCGTTGCATCCAAGTCGAACCTTTTAATATTGATATTTGCTTCTGCATATTATCATAGACTCGTTAAATCTAAGTCAAACCTTTTAATATCGACATTTAAGCACATGGAGCAATCTCCCTCCAGTAACACTACTGGGACTCAAACTCGTAATATCTTTGGCTCCGATATCACTTGTTGGGGAGACAAACTACATTATCATAGACTCGCTGAATCCAAATTGAACCTTTTAATAACGACGTTCTAGCATATGGAGTAATCTCCCCCTAACAACACCACTGGGACTCGAACCCATCGTAACGTTGGCTCTGATCCAAGTCGAATCTTTTAATACCGGCATTCGAGCACATGGAGTAGTCTTTTCCCCAACAACACTACTGAGATTCAAATCCGTCGTATCTTTAGCTCTGATATCACTTGTTGGGGAGATAAACCATATTATCATAGACTTGCTGCATCCAAGTTGAATATTTTAATACTGACGTTAGAATACATGGAGTAATCTCTCCCTCAGCAACACCACTGAAACTCGAACTCGTCGTAACCTTGGTTCCGATATCACTTGTTGGGGAGATAAACCATACTTGGAGCTTATGGAAGCACACTAGAGAGCCCATATATACATGTTAGATACTACTTGAGCCTAAAAGCTTAAGCTATTAGATTTTTGGGTCCTTCATGCAAATATAAAACATCTCATTCAAATTTCCTAATGATGTGAGATTTTTTACTCATATGTGAATCATATCCCAACAAAATGCTGATCTTAACAAAAACGGGTCTCAATTCTTCATCACTACATCTTGCATTTCTCATTTAGATGGGAAACATGTTGTATTTGGCAAACTTGTCAAAGGAATGAGAGTTGTTCATTCAATCGAATATGTAAAAACTAGTGAAGTTGATTGTCCTACTGTTGATGTTATAATTGCTATTGTGGAGAAATTTAGAAGAGGCAGATGACGGGATATCGAATTTTTTTAATGCTGGTGATATTTATGTTGATTGGCCAGCTGACCTTGATGAGATTCCTGATGAACTGCCTTGGTGTATGATTGTTATGAATTCTATTAAAGTTTTTGGAAATGAACATTATAAGGTAATGGGCTCATTCATGTTTATTAATGCAGTAATGAGTTCATTACCAAATGGGATTGTGCTTATACAACCGTCTTGCTACGCTTGATATTTCAAGATGGTGCTTCCTGGATTTATTGCTTATTCTTTCTCTCCTTTTTCTCTTCTTCCTTTTAAGTTTCTCCTTTGAAGTCTCATTTGTGCTAATGAGTTTCCTTAATGGAAACAAGACTATAAGATGGCTCTCATAAAGTACAAGAAGGCTCTACACTAGTTAGATATTTGTTGGGAGAAAGAAGTGATTGATAAAGGTGACAACATTTCTTTGATGTATATGGTATCATCTTTTTCTTATAAATAAAGTAGTATGATTCTCAATTCACCGTGGTTGGCCTGTAAATGCTATGCTTTGGCTTTGTAGAGAAGAGTTCAAGTTTGAGAAAGACAAAATCCTAGATATTCATAAATAACTCTGTAAGCTTCATTTTTCGATCTTTGACTGACTCTATCAATTCTTGAACACTTTAGGTTTGAATAATTTTGCAACCTAGGCAGCACTAATTTACTGGCTAGATACCATGTCAGGTTAGGAAATCACTTTTACTCTTTGTATCCTAGAGGTGATTAAACATTGACGTTATCTAGGATATTCAATGCAAGTGATGATAACCATGATGGTTAAGAGCATCAATTGTCGTTTGCTATTCCCTAATGAGATAGTGTCGACTGATTCAAGCTTTCTTGATTAGAATCCCTTGCCTTTTGATAAAATACTAGATATGGATGTACAACCTCTGCTTTTCGATACAACTGTTCGATGCTAATATTCCAAAATCACTGATGAGTTCTTGGGACAACTATTGAGATCAGCAAGGAAATCTTAAAGGCGACGAGTCGTTTTGATTTCGCTAATCTTCTTCAGGTTTCAATGGAAGCAGAGGAAGTATTCCAGGCAGCAAAATTCAACCGTACAAATCTGAGTCTGGAACCAATTCTTGTTTCTAATGAGAGTTTTCATACAAGTTAATCAGGACCTAGGATATTTGGGCCAACACTGATCAATTCCTTCTGTGTTTCCGTACAAAATTGGTATCAAAATGTATAATTTTGTCTTGGACAAATTCATCCAGTGAGTTATTCATATGAAAATTTATCAGTCTGCTTTTCTTTCATGTGCCGCCCAGAGTGTTTTATTCGTTGATGATCATGTGCCAGGGAATAGCATCCACCATCTCAACATTTTTTTCGGCAAAAAAACACCGAGACCTCCCCCTCACAATATTTATGTTAGTGCCCATCACATTACTTTTTCTATGTTATGGAACATTTAAAACAAACATTATAACAAATGGATACCTCCAAAATTATGGGAAGTTAACCTCACCAAGAAACAGCACAAATATAACCCATTGAACTCGAAAAAGAAAAAAGCTTGGTTCATCCAAAAAAACAAGATTGTAACTCACTAATGAATGCAAACCCCCAAAAAAAGGAATGAACCCTTGCAGCTTAACTATGAGTTATAGTTATCAAGCCCCAAATCCCTTAGTGCATCAGTAGCAGCATCCTTGCAGCTTTCATGATTTTCCTTGGCCTTCCTGATAAGCTTGTCAATACCATTATTCAGCAGAAGGGTTCTGCACATGAAAGCATTGGTTTCCCATGAATCAAGGTTTCACTAGATTACATATTCTAATATTACGAAAACCTTTTTGGGACCTTTATGAGGAAAAGGGAAAAGAAAATAAAAAAATACTGATAGCAGAAATTAGACAGCAATTGAGAGAGGGAAATAATAACATTAATACTCAAGTTGAATTATCCAACCAACTAAACCAAGTGCTGAAATAGAAACTGTAAAGAACTTATCTGCATCTATTTATAAAACTTGCCTATTTTCTGGGTTCCTCACAACAAGATTCCGAATCATGAGACAGGAACTTCTCTGCATCTGCTGAGCAGTAGGAAACTTCTGCATGGCTTGGATAGCAAGTTCCCCTGCTCCAGCTTCGATGGCACAAGTTGCATTGTCTGGTGATCTCAAGCAGAGTACAGAAATAATGGCCATTACCTAAAATCATTAGAAAAATGATACATTATGATGCCAATCCTATCTTGTTATGAATGCATATATTTTATCATAATAATGCACAACTTTTCCATCCACTATATACATGGGAGTATTCTATGGAGCATTGGAGCTAGCTGTTTCCAAACAAAAAACATGCATCTCTGAAGAATATGGTTCTTTGCACCACACAACAGCCAGGATGACAGTGTGACTATCATGTTATACCAATACTTCATGCACAGTAAATACTAATTTAGCACAAAATTAAAATGATAGTGAACAAAAATCGAGAATTTCACTGGTATAAGATTTGCCAGTCCCTTACCTCTTGCAGCACAGATGGGTCATCAGAAAATCTTGCTGACAATTTGATCAGCCTATCCATTCCTCCTTTCTCAACTATAGCACTCTTATTTGAGTCACTTCCTGCCAACTAGCCAAAGAAAAAAAAATGCATTTATGCTTCATGTAAGAAATGAAGGTAAAATTCACAAAGCAAAAGCTTCATGCAAGTACAAGCTTGTAATTCACTATCCATATAGTTTACATTTGAGGATTTACAATATAATGAATGCACACTATTCAAGTATCACATATCACCCAAAATCAAAAACCCATTTTGAACAGAAGTATTGTACAACTCTTAAAACGACCATTCCGCATTCTCAGATGACAAAACAGAAAGACAGCTGTAAACATAATCTTGCTGCACAAAATATTTCACTTCATGAAAGCAAAGAGAAAAATGAAAACTCTGAACTTTGAGTCGCAGGTTATAATAAAGGAAAAAACCTTCATCAGAACATTTTATATCCATACCTTGGATAACAACAAACAGCAAGTTCTAGCTACGGTTTTGTTGCCTTGTTCACCACTATCATCAACACACTTCAGAAGTGCATCAATTCCACCAGCATCAGCAATGGACTTACATATTTCATCCTGCAGGAAATGGACACTTCATAGTAAACTTGAAGGCCAATGTTTATCACACATATGTGATTGTGCATGAAAACTGTCGTTATACAACTTCAATTGGAAATTTTTTTCACTATTCAAATTAAAAGCTACAAGAGCTTATATTAACTGATATCAAGTAGTCTCTTATATCTCAACCAATTTTAATAAACTTACATTCACAGCAACAGCTTTTAGTGCTATGCTCACTGAAACAAGACTAGGCGAACTAAGCCCTCCATGAAGTGATTCCACAAGAGCTCTTGCAATTCCAATTTTTGCAAATTTTCGTGCATAACCATAAACCTGAAGGAAACAAATTCGCCAGAACCATTTTGAGGAACAATAATGGTAGTACCTTAAAGATATATTGCACGTATTTTACTTACTTGAGAAGCAACAACTCGATTATCATCAGAGGTTAACATAACACGTATAGCATCATATAAACTTTGAACATCGCCTTTAGTCTGTCCACTCAAAACTTGAAGAATCATCTCATCAACTCCTAACTCCATAAACGATTGTTTAACAACTTCATTACCAGTTGCAGCTGCGGCAATAACAGCAAAACCAGAATTCAAGATATCTAAATCTCGAATCCCATCACTAAGAATACCAACCACAATCATCGGTCCTCCACTTGCCCTAAAAGTCTCTGTACTTTGAACATCTAAAAGGCAACAAGAAGAATATAAATAAAATAATTCCAACACATACATATAATTAGGTTGAATTGTCTCATACCGGTGAGCAATGGTGCCATGGTCTTTAAACAAGAAACGAGAGTCTGTCTTGATTCAGTTGGAATCTTAGAACAGATTGAACAAACCAATTCGATACCGCCATTTTTAGCTATGATAGCCGCATTTCCCGATTCTTCTTTAGCACTACATAATTCACTTAGGTTATTAAGTAACGCCGTGATTTGGACTAAATCTTGGGCGTCGAATTTATCCTTGAAGTCAGTATTTAGTTGGTTCAGTTTCTCCAAGCATTGCATTGCCGGGTGGTCCTTGACACCACCATCCCCTGGAACACACTTCACGATCCCTGTTACAATCAATCGTTCAAAACTCCGTTAAAATTAGAAACTCAATACAGAAAAAGGATTGAGATGAAGAAAATGAAAGAGAAGGAAGGGAATCGGAGAAGACCGGAGAGATTGACGCCCTGGAGGGAGAGGGTTTGGATGGCGTCTTCCAGGGCTTCGGTGGGGTCCATCCCGAGGTCTTCCACGTTCTCTTTCACAAGCTCATCGAATGCTTCTTGCGAGATTGTATGGACGTTCTTCGTTGGACCCATCTTCTTTCTCTATCTGCGGACTTGGGATCCTGACCAGAGGAATGACGGACTTGGGCTGAACAAAAAAGAGTAGTGAAAGATCTGTGAGTTAGTACCAGTAATATTTTTGAATTCCGAACACCATCAGTCAAGGGATTTAAATTTTGCGGGGGTTTTATGGGAATTTTCTTTGGTACTTCGGTTTTAAACGAGGGAAAAATCTAAATACATCCCAATTTTTTTCTCTATATTTTTATATTTTTAAAAAATATTTTAGATGGAGTTATTTATTTATTTATTTATTTATTTCTTCAAGCCTTTTTAACAAATTAAAATTTTCTTAAAAGTTTTTGAAATTATATATGCAAAAATTTTAAAAAATTTAAAAATTTATATATTTAAAAATTTAAAACTTTTTATAAAATATTTTCTCTCAATTATTTTATTTTCCAAACCTAAATGTAAATATTTTTAATTTATCGGATATAAAAGCCACCGCAAATGTATATCCAAATACTTTAAAATTAAAATAAAAAATAAATAAGTAACTTCATCTAAAAAATTTTTTAAAAAATGTGAATGTAAAGAAAAAAATAAAAGTGTATTGGAATCACTCATTTTTCTTTAATGCTTTGGTTTTAAATTAAGATGCGACGGGATGCGAAAATTTTAATAAAAAATTAAGAAATATAATATATATTGTGTTAAATATATTATATTTCTATATATAAGAAACACAACATTAATACACAAATTAAAATTACTATATCTACCGTCTGCCTAAATTTCAGCTGCATATCAAGCAAGCCTATTTACACTCAGTCCAATTTTTTTAATTTAATATAGAAATAATCAAACTTATTATATAGAATAAAATACCTAAAAATAACTTTAATACATGAAAAAAAAGTACTGTATATTTGAAGAGCTATTAAAATTACCAATTAATTCATTTTTTTTTATTAACGAATAATTTTTCGCAAAGAGTTGCAACTTGCAACTTTTCTATGTACATAAAACAACTAGTGCCCCGCAAACAGATCTTCTTTTTTATTTATTCAACTGGTATGTACAACCTAATGTAATGTAAGTTCCTTCACACATAATTGGCTCGTTTACAGCTATTTTCAGTCACCCGGAATAGGAAGACATAACATGTGTTTTAAAAATAAAAAAAAAGCCCACATAGAAGTTCATTCCTGTAAAAGTTCCATGGCTGCTAGGCGCCTCACACGCTGCGTAAGTCGTCTCCTGCGATAGATGCCCACCAGACGCAGGATGAGTACCAGAGTAATAGCGGAAAAATCAAACACCCTTCCAATTCCCAGGCCCCCTGCAAAACAAAAAAAAAAAAACACACCATTTTGTCTGATTGGCTCTCCAACAAACATCCTGCTATGCATTAGCTCTCCAACACCAAAATTATCAAAAAAACCCATGATGTGGACACATAGTACAACCATCATTTACTTGACCCTATGAATGATAAGTATTTCTCAAGAGAAAAAAATATACCTGTTGGGATAAAATCAAATCGTGTAGCTCTGTAGATGATACTTAGCACCATCTGAAAACATGAGAGATGGTAGTAAGACTTTAAAATAGGTGAACAGTCACGAAAGAAACAGATACTTCACACTTAGTCACCTAACTTTGACTATTGACTAGTCACCTAACTTCTACTATTGACATCTTTACATCTTATTCATTATTGCCTCAACCATCATAACAACCTAGTAGTTTGTTATACTTCAGGCTTCTGATGATTGTTGTATATGATTATAAACGAGAATTCAAAACATGCCACCACAAAAACATTAGAAGTGAATCATAGCATGTCATGTTTTCCAGGTACTGAAAAGAAAAAACATGAACTTACATTTGAACATATCAACATATCCAGCCTTTTCCTCTGTTTTCTACCCTGCATTCTGAGCGTTGTTTACTCTCATAAAGCAGATGATCCTACTCGTTTTTTCATATCTTTTTCCTTTTAAATGCATAAATTGCTATATGTGTATCCCATCATACATTCCATGCTTGAGAAGGGATCTATCAGATGATTCTTAACTACCCCTCCCATGTCAATAGCATACTGACATTTTAAAATGCTAAAATGTCTCTTCCCAGTCTCCTTTCATCATCCCTTCTTAACACTTACTGATAGTAGCTTGACTACTTCCGCTTTGTAATTAGTATAAATGGGAATACTTCATAAGAATCCTCAAAAGTTCTAACTATTTCCTTTTTGCATTGAAGATGTAAAGTTAACGTATGACATACATCAGAAGAAAATAGCAGATAATGCATGGTTTGGACATTGAAGGAAGTTCCCAATTATCTAATTGAATATGGTAACACATATCATTAACAGGAAATCAAGAAGACAAGAACATGCAAACCACCAGACATAACATGCTCATGCATGCTTGTCTGCGCATGTGCAGATTACATAAACACGTCGGTGTGTAGACACCACTGTTGTATATCTGTATTAGTTGGTACGCATGTATATATATATATATATATATATATATATATATTCATAGCATAGATATTGAATAAACTTAACTGCAAAAAGGCGCATCTCAGCAATATATGTATCATTTGCATCAGGATCCATCAATCCCTGGAACATTCTCTTGATGAAGAATGGTAACTCAAGCACTTTCTGCTAAGAAAAGAAGGAAGAAAATGTTCACGGCCTGCTTACAACAGAACAAAAATCATATATTGCATTTATAAGATAAAGAAACCAATAATCAAGAAGCAAGCATGAAGATTGATAGGATGAACAACACAAAATGACATTCTTCTGTAATTCACCTTTGAGCCAATGTCAGAGCCATTAATTATATAGTAAAATATAAGAAACATTTACAAGAAAGACAGTATTCTTAAAAAGATTACCGAATTAAGGGCATTGATTTCAAAGTAATGTGTGTCAAAGGAAAGAAAAAGAAAGAAACAACAACAATCACTAGCATATATGTTCACTAGAGAAATCTCCAAAAGGCTGCATCAGCACACATACCTGAACGAATCCACGTGCACCTCCAAGAAAAAGAAGGTTATACCTCTGTACACTTTTAAGCACCTCAGTAACTTCCTGGTCCTGTTGTTGTTGTTGCAATGATGCCTCTGGCATCAAATTAACAATCTTGCAAGCACACATGGGGCACTTGCATGGCTTAGATGTTGAGGAATAGTTCCAGAATTGCAAAATACAACTGCCTGCCACAACCAAAAAGGAAGTGGGGAAAAATAACCAAGTTGAGGACAGTTGATTAGAGGTCAAACATGTAAGTTTGTTCCCCAATTGGGTAGTAGTTGCAGACTATAATTCACTGAAACACAATCCTTTATACCAAAAGCAACTAAGAGTTCTAACTCAACTCAAATTTTGGCAATCAGAGGCATTGGCTACACAACAAGAAACAGAACACCTATAGCAATAACTAAAGTTAATGAATGAGTTTCTGCTACAGAAATGACAGCAATGACTAAGAGATAATGTACAGTAACTGGTAAACTGCAAAAAGCAAAAACACCAAAACCCCACAACACCACCCTTGTCCTCCTATGATGAAGTAAAAAAAGGCTTAAATGCACTCAACAACCTCCTTTCTACTAATATTTGAAAATTTTGCCACCTGGCGATTCATAAGTTCTGGTAAATTTCTAAGATCTATTCCTGTTTACAGTACTCAACAACAATCTCATTAAGTTACCTGCAAACAAAGGGGAAAAATATAGCAAAAGAAACAAATCCTCATTGAAAATGCTTGTAGATTGAAACTTGTAAATAAGAAAGAGTTTGGAGCCCAAAAAAGGTCCCATAAAAAGCCTCCAGCTTCTTTATCAATTTCACTATAAATTATAAAGTAAAAGACAGAATAAAGCAATAAGGCAAAAGAGACTTGTTTCCTAGTAGCACGAATTCTTTTCTTCAACCAATGTACCTCCTTATTTAAGTCGCGAAAAGAACAAAATAAAGCCTAGTATGTGAATAATAAACAAGAAATTTTTTATACTCAAATTACATTTAAAACATAACAGACTATTTGAAAATGGTTTCCTAAGGAATCTTGAATGAACCAACAAATTCATGTTTAACCAGTGAGAATTTTAAGTAATTTGAAAAGCATTCAGTTGAAAAAAACCCTAAATCTAAAATCCTAATTCATGCTTGTAACTCAAAATTAATGTTAAATTTCAGAGAAAAAAACCCTATTTCTTTCCCTTCTTTCTCTTTCTTCAATTTTTCTAACCAACCGAACAAAATCAAACTCAGACTGTAATAAGCAAATAAATCGGTAAAAGAAAAGGAAGGAGTTTAAAAGAATTACCACAATACCAATGACCGCAATTGGATCGACAAGGAACAGTGAAGGAGCCAAAGCAAATTGGGCAGCAATCATCATCGGGAGGGCTTTCACTCAATCTCTTGTTCCCACTAGATTCCTCAACCTTTCTTCCTCTCTCCTCCGTTTCCATTTCCCCTCTTTCTCTTTTTGCTTCAAAATGTATAGTAAAAGGTTTTTTCCATCACTTTCTCAGGAAAATGCGCGTTGCGAATGTTAGGAAAGTAAGATGTCAAACGCGAGCGTGCCTTTATATCTTCGCGAGCTTCCGCATAGTTTTTAATGGAACGATAAAGCCAATGACCTTTTTTTATTTTTTTATTTATCTTTTCTTTTCTTTTTCCCTTTTTTTTTATTTTTAATTACTAATTGTTAATACTTAAATATCTATACATGATATAAAAACTATCCCCTTTAAAAATAATTTTAAGGATAATTTTGACATTTAAAGTTATTATCTAAAATAATTTCTTTACTCAATGTATAAAAAATAATTACTACCATAAGACTTTAGCTTAATGGCAAAAAAAAAAAGTCTAGAATCTTAGAATTCTAAATTTAATTTTCATTGTGTATAAGTTTAATTGTCAAGTTATATTTTAAGTTATTGATTAATTATTCAATAATTATAAGTTGATATAATAATAATTTATTTAATTAATTATATAAATACAATACTCGATTATAATTATAAAATCATGAATAAAATTAATTATTATTACTATAAATAATATGTTAATTAACTTTAGATAGTGCTATAATCATATTCCTTAGCAAATTTTTAAATTATATCTTTAATAATTTTTTATAAATACAATTTTATAATTAAGGAAACAAAACAATATGACTTAACAATAAATTTTGAATAAAGGTTATATAACTTTCCTTTTAACTTGATATTTTTGTTTATAATTGTGCTTAAGTATAATTAATAAAGTGAGAACAAGTGAATGAACTCTAGGAAAAAGGTTAATTGAGCATTCTTAATCTCTTTCTCTTTCCTTAAAAAATGATGCTAAACTAACTAATAACAATATCACTCCCCCCCTAATTTCCATTTCCGTTACACGTCGACTCGTCGCCTAACAATTCAACTTGATTACGAAAGTGGGTTCCAGCTTCAAATGCCGACAGTTGGTCATGACCCGTGACCAACTACTCGGCCAGATCCGGGGCTAGGGCTGGGGGCTTGGGCTCTTATCAACTCCTGAACATGAATTTTAGAGATTGACCCAACAGGATTTTGTGTGCGGGGCAACAGAGCAATGGTCTTTTTGGATCTTCAGGCATCAACCTCAATTTCAGCTTGGGCTTTCAAGATATTAGCCTTTCTACTTTTAGAAGATACCTTTGTAGTTAAAGATAACTTGAGAACATTGAGGCTCCATTTAGATCTCACCAACCATAAGGGAGGTGAGACTTGTTTTTTCCACTTCAAGCGTTTCATTCTTTCGTTTGGATTTCATTTTTGAGGTATGATTAGTGTCAGTGAGTCACTAAAGCTAAAAGATCTAGTAAAAATTACGTAGTTCCATTATACCTTTTTTTTTTTTTCTAGTTTTATCCTTACAATTCTTTTTATTTTTTTCATTTTTTCTTTATAATCATAAATCTTTAATGGTCATTTTTCATTTTTACTTTATTACACCACTGTTTTTACAGTCGAACACATATCTTTTTACTATTTTTAATCTCAAGACTACAATAATTAATATCATTTTTATAATTATTTTTAATTTTCATTAATATTAATCTCACTATCCATCAAAATAAAACTAAACTGTATTTTGGATAGCGTATTTGTTTGAATTAAAATTGTATTTTTAAAAAGTGATAGTAAAATAATTTTTAATATGTAGGATATAGAGTTTTATTGTTCAAATTTAATTATGATTTTTACCAAACAACCTATAGTTGAATTCAGGTTGGATTAGAGAAGAAACGAAGCGATGCTTGGAAAGAATTTATCGATCTTTTAGCAGAATATATTTCGATTCAACGAAAGAAATCCAACAAAGCAATCGCATTGAGTAAAGAGATTTCAATTTCATAAACTGTTACTTAACAGGGCATAAGGTGTAGTTTCCTGAAGTGTCATACCACCAGTTCTGAATGAGTAACTTGCTCTACCATAACAGCTACTCTAAATTAATGGAATAACTTTGAGTTGGTGTATAAACAAGGGGAGGGGGGGGGGTGGGAAGGTGAGCTTGTTAGTGCAGCCTTTCACCGAACTTTTTGTTAGAAAAATAGATAATTAATAGAAATAATACCACCAGTTCTGAATGAGTACCTTGCTCTACCATAACAGCTACTCTAAATTAATGAAATAACTTTGAGTTGGTTTATAAACAAGGGGAGGGGGGGGGGGTGGGAAGGTGAGCTTGTTAGTGCAGCCTTTCACCAAACTTTTTGTTAGAAAAATAGATAATTAATAGAAATAATAGAAAAGAAATTTGATTTTGCAGTATGAAGAATTTTTTTTAAAAAATAATTATATTTTTAAAATACAACAAAATCTTAAACTTTTCAATAAAAAATAATAAAAATAATTATACTAAAAGATCTATTTATAATAAATGAATAGACATAAATTGTTATTCAAATTATTATGATCATTTGAATAATTATGACTTATATGAACAATTATCTATTTATATTCAAATAGTTATGATCATTTATCATATACTAATTGTTTCTGTTCAAACATAATTATTCACAATATAAATAAAATTAATATAAAAATTAAATTTATTTACTAATAATTAAATATTTATATCAAATATAAAACGCATTACGTTTTAAACTACTAACATTTTTTATCTTAACAATCTAATCTATATGTACTTGGCCAAATTCCAATTGACCACTTGGCATTTATGATTTCTATACTAGAACTAAAATTAGCGGGCATATATGTATGGCTTGGACGAACAGTTGCTCATATATCCTTTAGAAGTAATTATGCGTGGGTAGTTGCAGCCTATAATGTGATCACATGCTCATCAAACGTACATACAGCAAATTGGAGGATTAATTGGACGAGGGCCATATGTGATATTAAGGTAGAGATGGACCAGTTTCTGCATTCAGATTTGTTGAAAATAAGCCGATGATTTAGTTTGCAGTCAATCTTATACATTGCTGGAATGAGGTGGAATTTCCGACAGGAATTGACGAGCGCCTAGGGGGGAAGTAACAGGAATTAAGGAGGGAGGGAGGTCGTGGTGATGGCAAATTGCTAATGGAGGACGGGACAGTCTGTCTCTCTGACACAAGACGTAGCAGAATATTTTTTCTTTTGGTTTTTCATATACATTTAATGTGTACGTCCTGCACTAAAAGCCTGATACTGATATTGATATTGATATGCATAAATGGTTGAGTTATCATTATGGGTCATTTTAAAATCATGGCAATTTGGCGAAGTGGATATATATTGGAAAACCTCTCATTGACTTATTCTCGTTGAAGAGCAAGGCTAGCTACACCTATATATGGTACCCTGATTGAGAATATATGTTATAAGCAACTGAACTTTTATTGCCTTCTCAAAACATGATGGCGGTGTTTGGCTATCTTGGATGCATTATCTTGGCAATTGTTTTTCTTCGTTTTCTCTATGGCTTCATCCACAACAATGGTCTCCCGAGAAACTGGCCATTTGTCGGGATGATTCCAACATTACTTCTTAACCTCCATAGGTCTCATGAGATAGTCGCCGAAGTCCTGAAAAAAAGCAATGGTACCTTTCTGTATAAAGGAATTTGGTTCTCTAACTCAAGTTTCTTGCTCACCAGTGATCCTGAGAATGTGCGTTATTTATTGTGCACAAATAGTTCAACTTATTTGAAAGGCTCCGAATGGTTGAACCAATTTGATATTTTTGGAGAAGCACTTTTCAATTCCGATGGTGAGGCATGGAAACGTCATAGGAAAGCTTTTCATGCTTTCTTGAATCACCAACAATTCCGCCAATCCCTTTCAAAGATGGTTCAGGATCATATAGAGCAAGGGCTTGTTAAAGTGCTAGAGTGTGTTTCCAGACGAGAGCTAGTGGTGAACTTGCAAGATTTGTTTGTGAGGTATGCTTTTGATATTGGTTGCATAATGGCTACGGGTTGTAACCCTCGTGTACTCTCCATCGAATTCCCAGAAAATCGATTCCAGAAAGCCATGAGTGATACTATGGTGGCAGCGTTTTACAGATATGTCATGCCTGACACCCTGTGGAAGATGCAAAGTTGGCTTCAGATTGGGAAAGAGAAGAGACGAAGTGAAGCTTGGAAGGCTTTGGACGATCTTTTAGCAGAATTTATATCGATTCAACGCGAAAAATCCAACAAAGAAATGGCATCAAACCCAGATGAAGAGAATGATTTCAATTTTTTAAAGTGTTACTTGACAGGACACGAGGTTACAGGCCCAACACCCAGCGATAGTCTTATAAGGGACAACATCATACATTTTTTGTTCGCCAGTGATGGTACTTACAGTTTAGTTCTCACCTGGTTCTTCTATCTTCTCTCCAAGAATCCCATGGTTGAAAACAAGATAAGAGAAGAAGTGAAGAGAAACTTATCACTGAAAGAAGTAGGGGGAATATTGCAAGTACCTTCGTGCTTCAACGAGCTGAGTAAACTAACATATCTCCACGCAGCTTTCTGTGAAACGTTAAGGCTATGTCCACCAGTTCCTTTCGAATTCAGGACAAGTACCAAGCAAGACATTCTTCCAAGTGGGCATCGAGTCGATAAAAATACGAGAGTCTTGATAGGAATACATGCAATGGGAAGGATGGAATGCTTATGGGGAGAAGATTGCGGTGAATTCAAGCCGGAGAGGTGGATCACGAAGGACGGAAAGATTAAACGAGAGGCACCGAGTAAATTCTGCGCCTTCCTTGCAGGACCAAGGATTTGTCCAGGAAAAGATTTGTCCTTTTTCTTGATGAAGGCTACAGCAGCAGCAATAATTCACAACTACAATGTGCATGTAATTGAAGGCCAAAAGATTACTCCAACAAACAGTGTGTTTTATCAAATGAAGGAGGGCTTAATGGTTAGTATTAAGAACAGATGGACTTGAGCTGTGGTACTTAAATTCTTACTACAAACTATTTATAAATGAAGGAAGACTAGTATTTTGTCCAGTAAAGAGTTTGGTTTAATATTTTCTCATGATGAAAGCTACGATTAAATCCATATTTTCATTACTACAACGTCCAGGTGGTTGAAGCACACAAGCTGACCCTGAGCATAGTGCAATTCTCCATATGAAGCATGGATCATTAGTTTCTCAAAGTGATTAAGCATTTGCTTTTAAACTGTCATCATTACATCATGTAAACGTATTCTAAGTGGCATGGCCTACCTTTGACTTATGTTTTTTTTTTTTAATGCTTAATGCTTATGGTATATATCTACCTCTGACCCCATCACTTTTAGCCCGTAACGAAAACACAAACAGATTTAGAAATAATGAATGAACAAGCAATGATTACGCTATCTTTCTACTAATTGGTCCAGTTTGTGTGAAATTCTAAGAGTTGATTAATGAAGTCAATTTGGCTCCCTTTCTATATAAACCTCTTCTCGTGACCTGCCAATGGCAAAAACATTGAATTCTACAATCTCTTTGATTCGAGTAATTAGTCTTGAAACTTGGCTGCGAACATGGCTTTCACATATGCGCATGGACTCATCATCCTAGTTGCACTACACTGGCTGGGGCCGGGGCTCCAACAAGCTTATTATATTTATTGAAATTAATATTTGGATGGTTGGTTGCAGTGTTCAAGTATGACCCACCAAGCAACACCACATTTCCTCACAGCGTTTACTTGTTCCCTGACCTATGTAGCGACTTGAATTGTGACTTGAAGATAGCAAAGATGATTGCAAATGCAACCCAAGGAGAAGGGGATGGGTTCGAATTTGTGCTCAAGAGGTGGAAGCCCTACTACTTTGCTTGCGGTGAACGTACTGGCTTCCATTGTAAGGTAGTCGGCATGCTGTTCATGGTTGTGCCACGTTGGCATTATTAGAATGCATTTGGATGAACGATCAATTTGACTTTCATCATATTGATATTATAAATCGATATCGAATCCTTAAATCCACGAAAATAAGAAAGGACGATTGATGTCCAGCATTGCTTTCCATTTTCATAGTGTTTCGTTTTACTTTATTAACAAAATTAATGTAATAATAAACCATTGTAATTAATTTTCATAGTGTTTCGAAACAAACGTAAATTTTCATTCATCAAGATGTTTTATAAAGAACATGCATTACACATCTTTATCTCATTTTCTATTAAAAAAAATAAAAGCCTCGAACGGAAGCTGCCACATACACAGAAAAATCTGTGACATATTCATTTCCATCCGTCAGGGCTTAGGTGGTTTGGTACCGCTGAAGTAAATGCCTTGCCCGTAGCTTTGATTTGTGCTTCGTTTGGATAGATGGTAAAAGAGATTCTCACGGATCGAAGTATCGTTTTTTACGCTGGATCCGAAAGGCAAACCTCAGGGAGCATCAGTGTAGTTTAGGCGTAAATTAAAAAGTTTTATTTTTTGTACGAAATTTTCGGTATTTAAAAATCATTTTGAATCTGAATCTGATTAATCAAAAATCAAATCAAATTAAATTTTATAATAAAAATAAATTTTTTTAAATATATTTATTTCATTTATAAGATTTGAAATCAAAAATTTATTTTAAAAAAATCAAATTTTTTATTATTAGGTGTTATTAAAAAAATTTTATTTAATATATTATTTTAGTTAAATTTTAAAAAAATAATAGATTAATTATATATCTCTTAATATCAATATCATTAAACATAGATTAAAATTTTCAATTTTTTTTACTATTATAAAGTTTTAATTATTCAAATTAGTTTTTTTTTTAAGAAATCAAATATAATTTTGTAAGGAATTAACATATAGTAAGTTAAAATTAAGAAAACAAAAATTTTCTCCAGAAAAGATGAAAGTTATAAACAATAAGAAAAAAAAAAGATAAATCAGGACACCTCTTTAGCTAAATAATTTTTTATTAAAATGGTTTTTCTTTCTGTATATGTTTCCATTCTTTTGATAAAAAAAATAAAAAAAAAAAGAAATAATTTAGAAACCTCTTTATCTCAGAATCCAACAAATAAAAAGAAAACTTATGACATCATTTTATAATTATTTTTCCCTCACATATTTTCTTTCCTTCTATTTTCTATACATGAAGAAGGAAAAATAATTTGATGTTTTGTTTGGACTTCATATAATTTGATTGTTTTTCAAATAAATTCACTAATTTCAGATTTCAAAGTCAAAACGCTGCCGTTTCCAACAAAAGATCAATCCTAATCTGCTGCTAAACCGTCATTATTACATCAAACAAACGTAGGTATGACCGTTTGTGTCCGCGCGAGAACGTATGCACCCTGTGCATAATCTGTTTGGTCGACAGGCAAATTTGTAGTGGAGAAGAGAAAAGACAAAATTTACGAGAGGTTTTTTTGGAAAAAAATTTGTGAATTAAAAAAAATTGATTTAATAAAAATTTAAATTGATAGATTAATAGAGTTAAATGTGAATATTAATAATATATAAAAAATATTATTTATAATTCAAAATTGATAAATATTTATTTAATAATATAAATTTTGTTAATATTTTTACTAAAAATATTTGTTTAAAAAATATATTAAAAATTTTAAAATTTTATACACTTAATCTATATAACAAGATTTTTTTAATTTATCAATTCTTATTTTTTATTTTAATTTTTATTTAATTATTTTTAGTAAGTAACTTTTAAAAATTCGCCTAAAGAATTTCATCTAAATTTTTTCCGAAGAGAAAACAGGAAAAAAAAAAAGAATTAACTGAAATTAAACTATAACTTTTATGCAAACAAATTATTATGTTCATCCTTCATTCTTTGTTAATCAAAGAGATTTTACTAATTCTCCACCAACCCATTACTCAGCCTATCTTTTCTTGCTTATTAGAGATGTGCAGAGTTTGTTCACACTCTAATACTAAAATAATTATTTTTATTTTTCAAAAAATTCGTAATTCGAAGATAAAAAATAGATTATAAATATTTAAAAATAGTTACATAAACAAATGCATTAAACCTTAAATTCCTAATTATTTTTATCTTGATTTCTTACTTTTGCAACTTAAAATATTAGGTTAAATGTGTAATTTGCCAGTTGGGATAAAATGGTAATCTATTCTTAGATGCAAGAATAAATCCCCTAGGTGAAAAATCAAGAGCGTGAACCAACCATAAAAAAAAATGGTTCTCCTTCCTTCATCACCATGGAAGTTGGGGCCAAATTTTTCACATTTGTCTTAGATTTACTCAATTATAACTATGACTATCTGCATAAAACAGATGTCATTTAAACTATAGGTAAGTATATCTATATATGTAATGATTTTGAGCAAAGAATTAATGGAAAGAAAGAAAGAAAATAGATGAGCAAGTGTGAGGGTGGACGGTATACGTGATTTGATAGAAAGAACTTCACATCATATTTCCTTTTCCTGCCTACCAATGTAGAAGAAAGTCAATAAATTTGGCAAATTAGCACCATTTTTTTCATCTTCATCAGAAAATATCCTCCTTCCTCTATATAAACATGTCCACTCGTCCCTCAATCCCACAAACATTTAAACTTGAAATCATTTTTTATAACTTGATCAGTTAAAAAAATTAAATATGGACATGGATTTTACAGGTTCACGAAGACTCCTGCTGGTAGTAATGATGGTAGCTTCCCTATGGGGAATGAGCATGGCTAACAAGGATTGGGGCCCCTATCATCCCCCAAATCAAACAGAAGGCCCCAACAAGATTAACGTTGGTGGTTCGGAAAATTGGCGCTTCGGCTTCAACTACACTGAGTGGGCATTCCAAAATGGTCCATTCTACATCAATGATACTCTAGGTGAGTTAAGCATGATTCTCTTTTTCTTTAAAAAGCATATGGTTAAGCCTTGTTATACATATGCTAGTTACTATTAAAATGATGGTTGCAGTGTTCAAATATGATCCACCGAGCAACACCACGTTTCCTCACGACGTCTACTTGCTACCAAATCTATGGAGCTTCTTGACTTGTGATTTTAGAAGAGCAAAGATGATTGCAAATTCAACACAAGGAAGCGGCGAGGGGTTCCAGTTTGTACTGAATAGGTGGAGACCCTATTACTTTGCCTGTAGTGTACGTAATGGATTCCATTGCAAGGTTGGTCGTATGAAGTTTATGGTAGTGCCATTTTTTCGTTGGCACCGTTGATCGATGGAGATGAGAACAGGGAAGAGGCAGTGCTGCTTTTTACAAGGTTTTTAGTAGACAGAAAATTATTGTAGGGATAGATATTTTTGTTTGTCAGTTTCGTTTTAAACTTTTCATTCGAGATTAGACAAAATCAGCTTGAAATAAACCAAAGCTTCGCCTACGACAGATTGAGTTCCAAGGGATGGTTTCCATTCATACTTTGTGTTGGTTAAAAATGGAATCTATATATTCTTACTATAGTCCACAAGTTAATTTCTGTTCAATAAGAGACATTTCAAGCTTTGTCTAAGTGTTTGGGTAACCAGTTTGACAGAGTTCGTGTCCTTAATAACATGTCTTATTACCCATCAGGACGATTATCTGTATGTTATTACTCCTAAAAACTTGCAACTTGAGAAATTTTATCCCAAACCTCTTGCATTAAGTTCATCTTTTCTAATTTCTGATGGCTGTACCTATCAGAATCTCTTTATTTTCATTGTTGCAAAATGTTTAGGACCATTTGCAAGTGTCTCTGTTAGTTTCAGTAAATTGATTCGGCAGTAGCTATCTGTGGTTAGCTTTTATCTAAACATGATCAAAAGGTTGGGTAATTTGACCAAAGTCTGAAGATCCACTCATAAGAGGATTTAGATAAAAATTAAAATTTTTTTAAATGAATTTGTATATAATTTTTAAGTTTATTTAAATTCTAGACTGGATCTTGAATAAAAAATTTAAAATTTGAATCCGGCTCGACCAGATCCGACCTGAGTTTACATATAAACAAGAGGTAGCGGCACTCAAAGCAAGGGAAGCTGCCAGGAAAAGAGTTGAAGAAAGAAAGAAACCATTACTTGGCTTATACAATTGATCTCGCTGATTGGGAATGGCTCAAGCAAGCACCTTGGCTCTTCTTAATTCTGTTGGGAATATTGATTCAAATTTCATAAGAGATTTGTTTGAGAATTGTTAGAGATTTGTTTGAGATTTGTCAGCTATTGTTTGATGGATAAAAAAATTTGCAAAAGAAGAATCCTAAGAGAAAGAGGATTCTTAATAGCTAAGTTTGACTTGCAAGAGAAAAATTCTAAAAGGAAAGAGATTCTTAATAAGTAAATTTGACTTACAGGAGAAGAATTCTAAGATGAGAAAGATTCTTAATGGGTAAATTTGTATGGTTATAAATAGGTGAAGTCTCTATAGGGTTAAGTATGAAAAAAAGATGTAAGAGAGTTGTAGGATTTTGTAGGATAGACACCCCATAGGAGTAGAGGAGACTGTGAGGGTCTACATAGGTATGGTGTATGGGAGCATATGGGTATGTGTTTGATTATGTTGAAAGGGTGCACAAGGGTTTGGGTTTGTGTTTGTTTGGATTGATAATACTCATTAGGACTAGAGGAGATTGAGAGTGTCTATGAATATTGATTGTTGAGTGAGATTGATGATTTGATGTATGTTTGTAATTCTCTACAACTAGTGGATCTTGTTTCTCATCCGTGGACGTAGGTTGATTGGACCAAATCACGATAAATTATTCTCTTGTGTATTTGATTTATTGTTTGATTTTACTTCCGTTAGTGTGATTGGATTGGAGGCTTTTAGCCCAACAAATGGTTTCAGAGCTATGGTGTTCCCCAACAAGTGGTATCAGAACTGAAAGTTCGAAACTTGAAAAGAGTTGAAGATTTAAGATGTGGAAATAGCCGAAGGTTCGAGACGTGGAAGAGCTGAAAGTTCGAGATGTGAGAAAAGCTAAAGGTTTAAGATGTGAGAAGTGCATAGTTTGAGACATGGGAAGAAGCAAGTCCAAAAGAGCTCGATTCAAGAGAAGAGTTCGAGTTTAAGTTTTGAAGATTGAGAATTGGTTTGTATGAAACGTGAAGACACAAGAGAAAAAAAGATGATTGTGAGACTTTCATTATAGGTGGAGCCAAACATGTCTAGCATGAAGATAAATGATTTGATGGAATTTGAGTCAAGGTTCCCATAAGAGATTTGTTAGAGATTTGTTTAAGATTTATCAGATATTACTTGATAGACAAAAAAACTTACAAAAGAAGAATCTTAAGAGAAAAAAGATTCTTAATAGGTAAGTTTGACTTACAGAAAAAAATTTTTTAGAAGAGAGAGATTCTTAATGGACAAGTTTGTATGGTTATAAATAGGTGAAGTCTCTACAAGGTTAGGTATGAAAAAAAAATGTAAGAAAGTTGTAGGGTTTTGTAGGATAGATATTTCATAGGAGTATTGGGGCTCTACGTCTTATGGGTGTATGTTTATTTGTGAGTGAACTAGAGAAAGCTGAGAGGATTCATATAGGTATGATGTATGGGAGCATATGGATATGTGTTTGGTTATGTTATGTTTATTTGTGAGTGAACTAAAGGAGACTGAAAGAGTCTATATAAGTATGGTATATGGAAGCATATTGGTATGTGTTTGATTATGTTGAAAGGGTGCACAAAGGTTTGGGTTTGTGTTTGTGTTTGTTTGTGTTGAGAATACTCAATAGGACTAGAAGAGATTGAGAGTGTCTTATGAGTATTGATTATTGAGTGAGGTTGATGATTTGATATATGTTTGTAATTCTTTACAACTAGTGGATCTTGTTTTTCATTCATAGACGTAGGTTGATTGAATCGAATCACGTTAAATTATTATCTCTTGTGTGTTTGATCTATTGTTTGATTTTGTTTCCGTTGATGTAATTGGATTAAAAACTTTTAGCCCAACAGATTCAAGGGGTCTGCTTTAGTATGCTATTCAACTTATTTTTTCTTCTCCGAGTATGGAGAGTGGGGCAACTTAATTTGACCACATTCTGTGTGTATTGGACAAGCTATAATTGAAGCTTTTACTCTAATCTTTGTTGCTAATAGATTTCTGTTATGACCCTTGTGCATTTTTACATTTACCCTTAGTTTTTACATTTATCCGTATACCCCTAACACCCAAGTTAAAGTATGTTGCTTTTGTTTCCTCATTACTGAAGCTGGGCGAAAAGATTGTGATTGAGCAGTTTTGTAGCATATTATATTATATAGTTAACCACTTAGATTAATCTCATCCAGGGCCATTCAAATAAGACGAAAACCAGGATGCTGCCTGATTAGCGAGATGGTTCATGGTTGTGATTCAACAGGAATGCGTATTCATATCTGATGAATGGCTCCCTAACCAAACCTGATTGTTGATGATTTCTGCTGCTTAAGATACTTTCTGCACTCAAAAAACCCTTCAGCATGGTATTGGCTTATGTTCCCGCATGGACAGAAAAGCAATTATGTAGATGTGACATGGCATTGGCTTGTCATTCCAAGGCATTAATACAATGTGAAAGGATCATTTCTGTTTCTCCTAAAGTTTACAAAGAGGCGACTACTCAGTTGAAAACCGGCCCCCTCCATCAGTCTAACTATAATGCTCTTTTTGCTTGACCCCTTAATTGGTCGCTATTATAGCCTTGAGATGAACATTTGAAAAATGTTTGTTTTAAGTACGAAAATTTGGATGGATCGGATCACCAGTGCTATATGTTTAAGTTTTACTTAAATTTAATCTTATTCCTCAAATGATTTCGAAAAATATATTCTCTTCATTGATTTTATGCATTTAAAATTTTGTTTTCGAAATACATTTAACAAAATTGAACATAAATTAATAAATTAACTAGAAAAGAACTCCTTTTTATGATTAAACTAACTTTTGTAAGTGATCGAATGGTGTGGTATTATAACTTTTTAGTGTGAGATATATATATATATATATATATATATTCAGAGGCGAATTCAAAGGGAGCAGACATGGGTCATGGTTTCAAAAATTTTTCTACAGCATTATAATATAGTAACTCAGTCCACTTAACATCAGTCTGGATCTTTATTTTTCTATTAATTTCACTGTTTGGCATCTTCTTTATCTTATATCGGCTTCACTCTGAATGTATTGCCTAATTTTTTTAATCATCACGGTCAAATGTTTAACCACCATTGAGAATGGAGATGAACCCTCCACTAAGGATCGTTTTGCATTGGAAAGAAATAATATATACTATTACTTGCATCCTCGTCTAAATGAAAAGATGAAAGAAATGATACTAACTGGGGTAGGGTGCCAATGGCTTGGTTCTCTTCGGTTTCTCCAGGTTTGCATCATAAAAGCTACTTTTGACTTGGTCTTTTACTTTCCAGATCTTTTTTTCTTTCTCTCTCTCACTTCCTTCTCCAAAAACATCCATACCAAATCTTTGAAGTTCAATCATTTTCTAGGAAAGTTGCCAAAGAAAATCAGTCAAAAGGTTGTTTTCCACGCCAAACAAGGGAAATTGATGGGAATTTGATGCAAGTAAAGGCAAAGCTTAGTGGAGTGAACGTACTTGTTGATTAAGCACGAGTATATCTTGATTTGTCAAGCAAGAATTGGTGCACAATGCATTAGCACTTCATATACCTAAAGTAAGCGTAGACTAGACAGAGCAATAATAAAATTAATTAAGAGTTCGTTCTTGATACAATGATCACAAAATTTTTTTAATTTCATAAATGGAATTAAGAGGTTATAAAATACGAAAAAAAAAAAGCTTGAAAGTGACCACTAGACTATAAAATATGGAAAATTTAATGCATAAAATAATATTCAAACGATCAGGTGATATATTTAAGCAAGTTAATCAACTAAGAAACGTTTCTTCTTGATGAACAAAAAGTGCAGAAAATGGATGACTGCAGAAAAAAAAAATCCTTGAAGAGTTCAGCTCATCGCATGTATGATTTTCAATTTCAAAGTAAAAGGATTTACTTTACAAGGAAAGAACGAGAGTTTTAATTAATCTGCAGCTCTAGCACTTACGAAAAGCCAAGTAATTACTCTCAATTGCGATGTAGAGATCGGGAGTGATCAGGCTATTGGCTTCAGATCGATGATCATCCGGTGCTTGTACATGAAATGATGATATGCATATAAAATTGTTATCCCCTGTCAGAGTTCAAACTACTCAGTTAGCAAATAACAATGCAATGCAAGCCACGAACTCAGAACAAAAAGAGGCACCAATCTTGCCATTTGAAAATCAACATCGATCATTGTAATTATTATTATCATAAATAAGACAAGGTTTTTCTCTTTTTCTAATATAGAAAATTTTGCACATATACATATATCATAGGCCATAGCCAATCCTAGCTCTCCTTTCTTTTTTAACCTTTACCACTCTAAACCATCTTCAAAAAAATTAAAAGAGGATAAAGGAAAGTGACAATGATTGCAGGATTGCAAGATTTCTAATGAGTCTCCTATGTAATCGGCATGGCTAGACTTTCTGTAAAGCTTGAGCATTGTATGCATGGCAGGTAGCTCCTACAGGAAGATATAAATAATGCTTTAAAAAAGCATGACACTGTACAATAATTATCCACCTCTGATCTCTTTACTTTTTTTTTTCTCATGTCTCTCCTGCTAATTGATTATATCAGACTGTAATAAGAAGCGAAAATGAAGCTATAGCAGCCAGTAGTGCACATTATGATTTTGGTACCCGTTATAATTACTTGAATGCATGCTACATTGATTAAGGACCCCTTGGCTAAATCCAAACTATCTTCACCTTAATTGTATATGAACATCTGATAAAATTAAAATGATGCAAAATGATCGCAAATTATCGAGCAAGAGTCTAATTTTACAACTTGAGCAATTGCAAATATAAATAAATCTAATTGCTGGCAAGTACCTGCTAAAATGATTACATTTGAGTTCAAACGTTGTGGAACTGGAAACTAGCTAGATGTACTTCTCTAATACAAAATGTTCGGAAGTTTTAAAACAGAGAATGGTAAGGACTAAAAGCACTACATCAGAAACTAATGTTTTATTAAGTGAAGAAGAAATCAAGCAACCATATTCCCGGTGGATTGATTAATCTGAATTAAAAGTACACAGGCACCAGATAAGATGCACTTTTGAACCAACTCAACTTAACGAAACCAGCGGCTGCTAATAAAACTAACCTGTTTTTTATGCATTGAAAATATGAACTCAGCAAATTAATTAAGTTGGTTTATGCAATCGCTTTCAGAGAGAACATATTATAAGTTTGATATTCATTTCAGCATTTACAATCTTTTTTTTTTATTTTTACAGCTTACCTTATACATAAAAAAAAAAAAAAAAAATCTACCTCTGGTTAATGGTAATCAAATTTTTATGCATCAAAATGTTAGTATTTCTTAGTATTTGATAATATCTGAAAATACCAATATAGTTGGCTCTGTTTGGAAACACTGTGAGCTGTTAGTTGACACTAAGAAATCAATGTTTTTGCCTGGCCGTCAAATTACTTGATAAACAGTCAAGAACAAGGCAGTCCCTTTTGTTTAAAAACAATGCTTGACTAGGAAAATAACTTTCCAAATAAACCCAACATAAAGGGTAGTTTAAAGCTTGTAATCTATGGCTGTCCCTTTTATCAGTGATGTAATTTCATACAATTTGAGTTTTGCGTCCATTTCATGGATAGAGACACCATGTGAACAAACAAATAGATTTTGATCCATAGCCATATATAATCATTTTTTCTATTTTAGCACATCAAAGAAAGAAATTTGAAAATTATGTGTTCGACAAAATAACACAAAATTAAATTAAATTTTAATTCACTTTAAAAAAAAATGATTAAATTCAAATTTCAATACTTATAATATATATTTAAAATTTAATTTCAAAACTTACTATCTCTTTCTATTATTTTGAGCTATGGTTATTATAAAAATAACATTAGATCAGGAAGTCTTGGTCATCCATGTGTCAAAGACCCAATACCCCGAGAAAGCTCATGCATTCCAGGGTTGAACCCCAAGCATCCAAGAGGACCCTGCTTGTAAGGCAAAAAAGTCTTCCTCCTCATCACCTCTGAGACAGCCCGATTCGCCGTGTAATGCAACTCGTGAGGCGAAACCGGTGCTTTCCTCCTGGAACTGGATATCGAACCAATAGTCTCAGTGGACCGGAAGCTTGCATTTTTAACAATCTCTGGCTCTTTCTTAGACAAGAGAGAATATTTTCTAAGGCGATCTTTACTTGTTGCTCTGCCTTCTGATGCACTCCTAAACAACAATAAGTCTTTCAACTTCCACTTTCTGTTATGTTTCGAAAATGAAATAGCTGACAGGATTGAAGAAACGTAAGATTTAGGATTGGTTGATGTGGAAACAATGGTTTTTGGGGATTGTGGTGAGCTTTCCTCTTGCTCAAACATAATGTCAGATACTCTCAAAGGAGACAGAGATCTGCTTTTCTTATGAACGTAGTTGTAGCTTGAAGATGATGAAGAAGAACCAGAAATTCTTTCTCTCCCTCGTTGTTGTGATTTAAATTGTATGTTATTTTGCTCCTGTTCTTGCTTCTGTTGTGGCGGTTCTTTGATTACTACAACTCTTTTACGACAATTCTCGATGACTGCTTCTAATGGATCAAAATCCTTCCAAAAAGCTCTTGGTTTTGGGGATCTTGTAGAAGAAACGGTACTTGAAAACTGTTCATAGCCAGGCGGGGGTTTAAGAGGCCGAATCTTTCCACCATCGAAAAGCTCCTCAGCAGACAAAGAAGTTCTCTCCAACTGCCCACTAAAGTTGAACTCGAAATCTTCACACCCATGACCATCATCAGTGTTGCTCTGATCTTTTCCGTCGACCCTGCCATCAAAACCTTCTCTTTTTGGTGTACCAGGCTTTTCCTCCCACTCGCGAGGGACTGCGGATGAAGAATCGGTGACATGAGAGAAATCGTTAATCCCACGATAGAGAGAAGAAGCACGAGCAGGGGTGGCTGGAGCACTGAAGAAGAAATTGCCAGAGTGTTGAGGACTTGAAGGAGCAGTCATGTATGGAGATGAACATGTGCTATCGACGTTGAAGTCCACCGCAGGGACCGGTACCACCACTTCCATCTCCTTGGATTCCTTGGGTCTAAAGATTTCGGGTGTAGGAATCAAGCTAAAGATAGAAATGTGAGGATTTTATGAGAAATTGAATAGGATAAGGGGAAATTGGTTGTGACCCAAGAGGGAGCCGCCTTTATAAGTCCTACCTACACTTATCTGTGACATAATCATTTTTTTAATTCTTTCTAATCCAGGTGTTGAAGATTTGTTGGTTTTTACTTCTACCATTCATTTTTAAGCCATCCTTGGTTTTCTATTTTTGACTCAACCTCGGTTACTGTTTTTTCAAGTTCAAGACATCCTTTTAACGTGTAAATGATATATTTAAAATTTATTTTTTTTACAAGTTGATATCACATAATTTATAACATTAAATATATATTTTATATTTGTTATATTATTAATTTATAAATGCTATATGTTGTTGGTACACATCATAAAAAGTTAATTTTAACATTTTGAAAAAAATACACTTAATTTTAAAAATATATTTAAAATTAAATTTTTTAAAAGATAATATTACTTGATTTATTAACAATGTATAACATATATAAATTGATAATGTATCAAATATAATTCCATAAACATTTAGCTCAATGATTTTTAAAATTGAATTCAATTAGAACTTAGTTTTTCTTATACTACAAGAAATGGGCTGGGTTTGCTTCTCATTATTCACAATAATAATTTATCATTCCAAAAAATTAAGAAAAATTATCCGATATATTAATAGTAAAATTTTTTAATTTTATAAATAAATTTAAATTTTAAAATTTTATTATCAGTATATTTGATGATTTCACAAAAACTAATATTATTCATATGTATGAAACTGAGTTATTAATGTGAATTTTTCAAATGTCAATGGAATAATTGTTATATTAAATTAAAAACATTTGTAAAAAATGTAATGAAAGAAGCCTGCGTGGAAATTGAAATATCAATTTTTTTTATTAAAAAAAATCAAAGCTAGCAAAATGGCTGCATATATAATATTTCTTTGTTTATTTTCCCTCAAGTCTTTGTTTGTGGATTGAATGAAAAGGGGCGAAATGATGATTAACATGATTGCTATGTTTTGAAAAAAAAGTAACCAGCCAAACAAGGCCCAAGTTATTAAATTTCAAATGCTGATTTGGTATTATAAGATGAGTACTTCTTACTTTGACTGGTTAGATTATTCATCATTGAGCATTGTATGTGAATTTCATTTCCATTTTGGTGAAAGAATACAGATGGAAAAGAAAATTTTTAAATTCTAAATGCTAGCCTGGGTATCTCTGTATGATTTGGTTGTCATCAGGTTGGACAAAATGAGTGCCAGAAATGCTTTTATTGGCACATCTTGATTGATCCAAACATGAAAAACATGACAGAAAGAGTTTCATGGCAAGCAGTCAAACTGGCATTGCAGAGTTCAATAGGCCCATGGCCGAAACACCCACAAAACAAGTATCTGCCACGTTGAAAGTTTTCTTGTAATTTTGTATCATATTAAAAATCAAATCTCATGAAAATTGCAGTGAAGTAAAGCAGGTATAGTATCCTTCTTTGCTGCAGGCTGCAGTCAAAGAAGAAAAACAGGTTCCCTTCCCTTTCAATGAACAGTCGAATCATGCATATCCTGCTAATCACTGCTCTTAGAAAAAAAGATTGGATGATCCATCCATATTCCATGTCAACAGCTGGAATCTGAAAATATACGATAACTATGGACCTGCTAGATTTTAGTTATTTTTGTACATTTTTTTCCATGTAATTGTTATGACATTTGCAGCAATTCTTCTTTGGGAAGCTGTTGTATTTTTGGTTAATGTAAATGAATCTCGCAGCTGAGACAAGGCCGGAGAGACTTTTCCCAGCAGATTTCCCAGTTATCAGTTTAAGATTTTTTACTTTATGGTCTGATTGGCTTGTTGGGTCTGATAGCATCTCAAATATGGTCAAATCATGCAGCATAGTTTAACACGGTAAGAACATATGCAATGAAAACAAACATTAAATCGGAAATTAAGATGTAATAATCATATGAATTTGTTGGTCTGCGATTTATCTTTGTTACTCTCATTTCACTGTACTGTTGCCACTGCATCAATGTTTCAGTATAAAGGCTGATGCATTATAAAATTATTCCCATGGTGAAATATTTTCTTCTCTTGTTTACATTTTCCGACATGCATTATTAGGACCCGAAGAAAATGGAATTCCACTTTTCGGCTAACCCATTTCAGACCTTCGTCTGAGCTTTATTTATAACAATCTGGTACTGGCTGTCCAATTTTAATATTTTCCAGCAACTTCCTGATTCAGAACACGAGGACATATCGAGCAGATGGCTGACAACATTAAAGAATTGGTTTGTCCTGTTATCGACAGGAGGGTTTTTTTTCTTTGTCTTGGGCCAAAGTTCACTTGGGATGCGTGTTTCGGCCAGACGAATTTTACCCCAACGCCAAATGATTATGGCCTGACTGCTCATTAATTTGATTTTTTGTACGGCTCTGAACATGAGGGGTGGCATCCAGAAACTGAGGTCTATGATTTTGAGACCCAATTTTTTTCTTTGTCTATCTGTATACTACCATTAATAGTTGCCTTCTAGCCTACTTTACATTTATAAGGGTTTCGAAATGTTACCCCCGAAAAATGAAAGGGAGAAAACCACGTTTTTTTTCAATTAAGCTGAAGAACATTTTTTTTTTTCAGGCTTAATTTTGGTTTTAAAAAAGAAAGGAAGATTGGAGTTTTTTTTTTAAACAAAAAAATCATAATATGAGAATAAGTGACAGGAAATGAAGGAAAAAAAACTGATTAGAACAATATTTTTTCATGCTTAATTTTGGTTTTAAAAAGAAAAGAAGATAAAGCTCATTTTTTAAAAATTGTATTTTAAAAATGAAAAAAAATATTAATATTCAAATTTAAATCTCGAATATTATTTTTAAAATAATTTATATAAATTAATTAAATTAAATTTTGCAAGATGAAGCGTGATTGCCATGTCAAGTTGCATTTCTCAGGTTGAGAATTAAAAGGCATTCCAATATGAAAAAAAAAAAAAAAAACATTATGTACCTTCCGTGCAGGAAAAAAAGAATGCACATTAGGGACAGGGAATAATTATTCAGAAATATTGGGGTTAACAGAAAAAATACTGCCTCCATTAAGCAACAATACAGGAGGGTTTGTGTCAGATTTCTTCTGGGACTCAACAAAATAATAGAAGAGTGCTCTCCGGGCTCCAGGATCAACAGTCACATTCCCAGAAAACTTAATGAAATTCAATCCATCAGCTTGCCTAGAGATGTAATGAGTCGAATCGAGAGAAATTTTTATTTATTTTTAATTTAATTTAATTTTAAATATGTAAATTTTAAATTTAATTCGATAATTTTTTAATTATTTTTATATTTAAATTTAATTTAATTTAATATTATATAAAATTATATTCGATTAAAAATTAATAAAATATTATTTTTAATATAAATATAAAATTAAATATATATAAATAATTATTAAATTAAATAAATAATTAAAAAATTATATATATATATATATATATCAAAATTGAATAAAATCGAATTTATCTAAAATTTAATCACAAATTTTTTTTATATCATCTGACCTAATACCTAATTTAAAAAAAAAATTTGATCATAAAAAATCAGATCGCATTAAAACCCACCAGTTTCGAATTTTTTTTCCTTCTCTGGCAGAGCATTAGTTTTGTCTGCCATCATGACATCCGACATAAACATTTAACAATTTTTGTGTCCTTGGAGGAAAAGTACACGTCTTTTGATCGTTGAGCCTTCATAAATTGATCAAGGGGATCCAATCTTATCAGTTCTGAACAAATAATTAAAAAAAAAAAAAAAAACCCTCTCAAGCACAAAATTGAAGTTGTAAATGACATATTAATACAGTTCTAAGACAACTCCAAGATTTAAAATTAACTCCAGCTACAAAATTCTGTGAACTGAAGATCCAGTTAATGCAGCAACCAAAACCCATCCTACTTAATGAATCTGACGAATAAACTTAAACTTTTCCTGCAAGTTCAGATTACAAGCCATTGGTAATTGTCATACTACCACTCTTAAGAAGCACTGGGAACAGCAGCGGCGGCGGCATACATGCTTGGATCCTGATTAGGTGGTGTAGCATTGCCTTAACCATAACCATAACCACCGTAGCCATAAACTCGATAGTATCCTCCATTCCACTGGTTAACAGAGTCAGCTCTCCACTGTCAAAACCAGTTTTAAGAAGTAAGCTACAATATATAAATTAATAAAAACATAGATAAGAGACTAAGCTGAGGTATTTAGGGGAAAGGAAGCAAAGAAAAACAATAGCAGAAGAGAGGAGGGAATAAAAGTTTGCATTTCATCCTCCATTAGACTTTATTGTAACTTGTACTGTACAATAAAATGATGCAACCAAGGGCCAATTAATAAGGACATAGCATAGAACTTCCACTTTTTCTTTTTCATTCCGGAGGGTGTGCGCAACATAAAGTAACTTTCTTTTATTTCTTTTCTCCGGTGTCAGATGCCTCAGATGCCTGGGCAATTAGACCTAGGAATCTCCAAGCATTTTGCAAAGAGCATGGCAGGCATTAGGCCATGAGACAGTTACCTACTAAGAATATACACTTTAACATAAATTTACCTGTCTGTTTCCTACACTGCGACCCCAAGAAAGACGAACGGTCTGCTTGCCTATGGTTGTCCCGTTCAAACCCTGGATTGCATCCTCAGCATTCTTCCTGAAGAAAACACAGAATGTGGTCATTACATTACTACAGAGATCATGATTAAATAATAATATAATGATGATACCAACTGTCAGAAACCAATCAGTCTGCATCACTTAATTTAAATATGTCCATCACTGGTGGAGCTCTAAATAAAAATCTTAATACTAGTAACCATACTTCAACATAAGGTAAGTACAATGAGGTGAAGTACACATAGGGAGGCACCTGCTTGCAAATTGCACAAACCCACATCCTTTTCTGGGTGGTATTTTCACTAAGATGATCTCACCAAACTGGGAAAAGGGTTGTCTGAGATCATCATCACTAATGTCTGAGTCAAGTCCTCCAACAAATATCTGCAAGATACATAACTTAGTGATCCATGGTATATATAGGGGTGAAGATAGCGCAAAAGGAGGAAGAAGGACTCACAGTAGAGTTATTTGAGTCGTCATCAGATTGGGAACCTTGGGTTACATAACCATTTGATGCATGTCCACCAGCCAATACCAATGCTAACAAACAGAATATAAATATAATAATTCAATTAAAATTCACATCAAGCTTAAAGATACAGATAGTAACAGATTGAAATGACAAATTTACTTGTAGAAATAACTGACTCAGCAGTCACTTGTTTAAGTGACAAAAGAACATGATGACAAAAACAGTGTTTTCCAATGAATAAAGAAAATCCTGAGACCTTAATGCTCCAACAAAAAAAGAGTCCAGATGACGAACCATTTGAAATAGCATACTTCACCATATTAAAACAAGCCTGAGATGAAGAATTTAATCTTAGAAAAAATAAAAAGGTAAAAAATCACAATGTGACTCCATCTAAATGTCAGTGTTCACCATTGAATAGATCAGGATACTCCACTAAGGTGGAACAGAGGAAGATTTACGTGGAAGGCCACCCAAGTATTAATCATTTCTCCTCACCCTTATGGCAGAAATCATACAGAACCCAAAAAAGGGCCCCTACATTTGACCCTTCACAATTTAATTTAAGGGGAAACAACTAGACTAATTTGGGAAGGACAAAATACTAAGATACCGTGTGAAGAATACTGTTGCTGATATCCAGATTTACATGGAAGGCCACCCAAGTATTAATCACTTCCCCTCACCCTTATGGCAGAAATCATACAGAACCCAAAAAAGGGCCCCTACGTTTGACACTTCACAATTTAATTCAAGGGGAAACAACTAGACTAATTTGGGAAGGACAAAACACTAAGATACCTTGTGAAGAATACTGTTGCTGATATCCAGATGCTTTCTTGGGAGTAGCAACACCAATTCTCATTGGTCTACTTGAGCAGTACACACCATTCATTTCACTAATGGCCCTTGACATTTCATTTTCATCACCAAACCTAGCAAACCCAAAACCTTTTGAACAACCAGTATTTGAATCAATAACAACTTTTGCTCCTTTAACAGATTGATATCTACTAGAAAAGGTCTCATGTAATATCGAATCAGTTACATCCGCAGCCAAATTTCCTATAAATATAGATAGGTCAGAACCAGCAGCTGGTCGCCTTTCATTCACACTGAATGAAGCCCAATTCAGACGAAAAGGCTGCTCTGTATTTGGCATTGGCGAACCATTATAGCTTTGCAAAACCTTCTCAGCTGTTGCACGTGAGTTAAACTCCACAAATCCATACCCTTCAGACTGACCAGTTTGCTTATTGCATATTATCTTTACAGAAGAAACCTGGATTTTGAAAGTCCAAATGTCAGTAAACAATATTGGTATAATGATGATGACAAGTAGAACATATTTACTTACGAAAGCCTATTATCTGGATAATCAAGTAAAATATTCAAAAAGGTATAGGTATTACATGTCAAGAACATGATCAGCTGTAAGCACTTGACCTTCCGAGAAACTAAAACCAATAAAATCCCTCTGCAGATTTTGAGGTTCCAAAGAATAGTAAAAGTCTAAAAGATACAAAAGTCTTTTTAACCCTCCTCCCTGCTTCTTCTCTGCTAGGAATTTTTCAAGTAACACCAGCCAACAAAAGAAGAAAGTTTCATGGCTAGCTGAGAACTTTCTCAGAAATAAATGCCAATATGAGCTGAGTGCATTCTTCAAAATGGTGTCCACACTTTACACTTCTGCGTAACCATCTCAGTTACTTTGAATCCGAAGCAAGCGGATTCTATTTCATGTGTTCATCAATAAGTTATCTATGACAATCTTGTATTGAACAAAAAAGTACTCAAACGCTTAGAGAAGTCTACGTAGCAGAGCAAATGCACTTGAAGCAAATTGATTTTGTCATCTGGCCATCCCCTCTAATTAAGACCCAAGATGAAAAGATATAACATCTCTAGTTTAGAACAAGCTGAGACAATGCTATTATTTCAGCTTTTGATATAAAATGTGGATCTTTTATAACTAAATCAGTTCTAATTCATGTTTATTAAATCAGATGCAAATTGAGTTTAACCAAGACTTAATCCTCTCGACAGTTGACACAACGGCGTAAATAGACTTTTCACATTTATCCGTTACTATTATATTATGGCAATGAACAATAGTCTGTTGATCACTTCAGCTTAAACTAGAAACAATCTTTTTCTTAAAATTAACCAACTTTAGTACACAAATGTAAATTATCTTCAACATATACAACTTAATTAAAGAAACAATTCAAAATAAATTACCCTCATTACATTAACAAACATTAGCCACAAATGGACATTCCTTAAATCTTGTAAATGAACTAAAGCACAAATCGTCTACAATACACTTTAATGATTAATTATGGCCCATTTTCCTCTATCCGACATTGATTAGACCAACTTAATTGCAGGAAACACACTTTTAACTGCAACCCATTTCATAAATTCTCTTTAATTAATTATTACTTCCTCTAATCTAGCATAAACCTCAAATCTTAATATTATATTCTTAAACCCCATAAACAAAAAATGACAGCAATAAAACCACAAGATTCTCTAATGTAAGATTCATACCAATACATACATATATCTATCTTTTCATGCGATTGTTACTACTATTGTTTTTACCTCTCCAGTGTGAGAGAAGCAACCATAAAGATAAGCTTCATCCATCCAATGAACAAGGTCACCAACCCAGATCGTTTTAACCTCATCCGTATTAGATCCTTGCTGCTGTTTCGGTAAGTAGCTTTGAGGCTGCTGCTGCTGCTGTTTTTGTCGTTGTTGCTGCTGCTGTTGATATTGGAAATGATGATTATTGTAAGGCATATAATGATAAGGGTACATCATCTGCTGCTGCTGCATCATTACCATAGCCGGGTACTGCATGGCTCCCATCCACTGGTTTGGCACCCACTGTGGATGTTGCTGCAACTGCTGGCTGCTTTGTTGCTGTTGTTGTTTTGAGTTCAGATCAGGACCGTTGGTTGACTGCATCTTGATATATAGACAAAAACCTGATCTGATCACTCTGGTATTTTCTTTTTCTTTCTCTCTCCGCCTGGTGGCAAAGGAGAGAAAGAACAAAGAAGAGAGAAAAGTGTAGCCGAAGGAGACGTATCTTATGAACGGTGGCTGTGGATCTGACTTACGAGTAGTTATGAGTTGCGTCTTTTGAATAGTTAAGAGATCCGTTGTGATCGAAAATAATAATAAAAATTATTATAATTATAATTACAAAAATTATATTAAATAAATTATATTTAAATTAATATTTAAATTTAATTAATGATATAATAAACTCAATTATACCGTATTAAATATGCAAAAAAATCTAAACCTCCGCTAAAATTGGTGAGTGGGGCCTCAGTTGCAAAGTTGGTGGTTGTTTGCGTGTTTTGTTGCCATCCCGTGAGTTTAGACAGGGACCCACTTAATGGTCGCGTGGGGTTATTATGCTGACCTGGTCGGTTTAGATGCAACGGGCGGCTAATTACATCTTGTCTTACTGTACTTGTACTGCCAAATTATGTTATATAATCGTATTAGTTAAAAAATAATTATTTATTAAATATCATATGTAAAGTTAAATAATAAATTTTTTCAATAATATAATTATATAGTATAAATTAAATAAAAAATATATGTTAACATAACATAATCATTTTATATAAACCTTTTTCGGTAAAAAATAAATTTTTTAAGTATGCTATGTATAATTTCATATGATCCAAAAAATGTAAATTTCTTTTATATAATTTTCATATTTTATAATAATAAATTAATACTTGAAAGAAAGGAATTATTCAATTTAAATTTAATATCAATATATAATTAATGATGCAATGCATACTATTTTTTATATAAAAAAATAAATACTAAAATTTAAACTTCACATTTCTTGAATATATTTCTTTAGCTGTTGTATGAAATTTTGACAATAACTTTTACCTCTAAAAGGCTATGTTTTTTTTTTTTTTTTTCTTCAAAAGAAGTAAGTTTTGAGGCTTGGGATTGACCAGTATCAAATGTGTTTACTATTGATGTAGTAAAAATTCTTCCCTTTCTAGAGAAACTGAATTTCAAGTCATTCTTGAAAAGGTAGATTCCATTTAAAGGCTGATTTTAAAAACCTAAAACAGAAAAAAAAAAAAAAAAAAGGATATTTTCTGGAACCATAGATTTAAATGTTCAATTTTTACGTTTTTTTTTTTTTAAATTTAAGATAAATAAATTATTTAATCTCTGAAATGAAAATAAAATATATCGATAAATTAAAATAAATAATTATAAATTAAATATTTGAGATAATTTTAATAAATAATTATAAATAAATTTAAATTTTAAAAAAATTTTATTAAAATAATTTTTAATCAATCGAATTAATCATTTTATCGTTTGAGGTGTTTTGAGTCCCAAATTTATTAAACCCCCACTCGACCTTTTCTGTTTATAAAATTTAAGGCAAAACCTAATGGATTCTGTCATCACTGTTTGCCGTCCTGATTTTAGTGAAAATAGAGCTGACATCAAATCTATTGAATTAATAATGGTGTGTAGGCCTATTTTGCATGTATATCAACCGTTGATCATATGAGGATGATTGAATAATCGTAGGGTCGAAATTGGGAAGTAGAGGAATCCGAATTAAGACGATAGCACCGTTTTTGTGCACATTTGGCAATAAAATTGACGAGTTGGTGAGTCAAAAGGGGGAGGCGTAGTGAGCTCAAAAAACGTAAGTGTCTCGGTTGCTTTTGCGATTGCCCTTTTGGCCCTGGGGCCTAGAGGCTGGAACTAGAACAACGAATGCAAGCGCGTTACGTGTTTGAACTTAGAATCTTGAACAAATCTTTTCTTCTTCTGGTCACGCAAATCTTTTTCGAGAAAACTTAATAAATTTTTTTAGATAAAATTTATAAAATTTCTTCTTAAAAATAATCTAATAAAAATATTAATAAAAAATTTAAATCAATAAATTAATATATTTTAACATAAAAATTAAATATATTAAAAAAATATTTAAAAATATTATTTATAATTCAAATTTGATTAATATTTATTCAATAATAAAAATTTTATTAATATTTTTATTAAAATATTATTTAAAAATATATATTAAAATTTATTAAAAATATTTTTAAATTTATATATTTAATTTATATAACAAGATATTTTAATATATCAATTTTAATTTTTATTTAATTAATTGAAAACTTCACGAATTTTACTTTAAAATTTTGTCTAAATCTTCCTCAATCCCTCTTTCCTTAAATATCCTTAAATATCTTGCTCTTAAATCTTCGTACAGTTATTGGCAATTTAACTAGAAAATATTTATTACATGCATGTAAAAGTTGAGATTGGATCCATTGAGTGTCTTTAAGAATTCTTGAACAGAATTCTTGAACCTCAAGCAATTTCTGCACGATGAACAGAAATGACTCTCTTAAGAACCCACGCTTGGATGCGAGATTCATCAAGCAGTGCAAAAAATCAGCGTTTTCTAACATTTTTGGCTTACAGTGTGATTCTTTATTACATCCTCATAGTAAACAATGATGTGCCGGATGCTGTTGAAGTACTCCAAAACTTTTCTGGTTGCCTCTTCGGCCTGCCTTAAATTTGGATGAGCAACGTTGCATTGATTACAGGCTTGTAACTACCAAGTATCTCGGCCTGAAAAACATTATAGAAGAGTTGAAAGTTAGAGTTGAAAGTTTTAGATGTGTGACAGAGATGAGAGAGTAGGAGAGGGGTAGAAACCTTGTGATGCGAATGAACACAAGACTTGTGGGTTCCATTTAGTAGCTTAGCATCCCGATCATAAGAATTTGCTAGAATTGTAATCATCCTGCGCAAAAGATTCCTTCTAAAGAAAAAAATAGCTGAAACACCCCGGCTATTGAAGTATTCCACTATGTCTTTATGATGTTTGCATCAATCCCTGCAGTAAAGGATTATGATCATGAATACAACAGAGACAAGCATGATAACAAATTCAAATTCCACACTTAAAGCAATGTGTGTTGACAAAAATACCATCTTTTTAAATCGTTTGAACATAGAGAAAGCTGTGTTGGTTAATGAATATCTCGTCACATCCATTGTTCTCAAAGGCTTAAGATCATGATAGGCAAGATTTAAAGAAATTTGACCTCTTAAGAGCATTAAAACAAGTTGTCTTGAGTCCCCAAATCCTTAACTAAGGAGGCATTCTCCTGTTTGATATACATTTTCTAATCTTCCAAACAAAAAATGTCAACTACCTTAGTCCTCACAATTGCATAAGCTGCTATCTCTTCTTTCCCCTGTTTTTATTTGTTACCAGAAACATATCTCCTTGTTTCTTTTCATAATTTTGCTTAGCTCTCCTATTACATTCATCCAAGGTATAAAATTGATATCTGTTCCATATTGATGTTTTGGTAAATATTTACCAATAATGCCTCTCATTAAAAAATGAATGGAACCTTAAATATCTACATTTAACAATGAAATTTTTATCAAAAGTAAATATATTTATTGAATTCCAATCTATCCAGCCTATTCTAGAGACATGGATTTGAATTCCCTCGTCCCTAAATGCATACCCAACCACTTCACGAGACGAAGGTCACCTCTGCTCTAACTTCTGATGCCCCCCTCTTTTATGATAATGCTGGGAAAGAGAATGCTCAGAAAGCTTGACATGATCCTCAAGGTAATCAAATATGTTAGGAGCCTAGAAGAGACATCACATTTGTTCAAAATTTACACCCTTAACTCATGAACTAGAAGCAACACGTGAAGAAAAAGAAAACTACAGGAACTTATGCAAGAATTATTACCTGAATTGCTCTCAGAAACCTGAAGCACTATGGTATCTAATAATCATACCCAAGTAACCTAACTTCATGCAAACATGCATGCAAAAAGAAGACACAAACCTGCTGTCCAAGAAAAATGTGTGTCTAGATGCAAATAAGGCTCAAATTCCCGGCAGTTATACAGAAATCCTTTGGCTGGGTTAAGAATATAGGCTTGGTGGTATTTTGGAATAATAAAAAAATGAACACAATGTAAGGTTGTTTTGCAGCGAAAACATGCTAGGATAGTCATATAAGTTTTTTTGAGCATTAGGGGTCGTGTTTTTTTTTTAATTACAGGTAAAACTGGATCTAAAAACAAAGACAGTGGATAATTTAGATTAAGAAGAGAAAAAGAAAATGAACCACAGAAAGAGATCATGAGTTAATGATCATGCTCCAGAAAACAAGGAACTCAAAAGTTGCATTCACTATAAGACCATTAAAAATATTAAAAGACCAAGTATATTTGTAAATATAAAGGATTTTTGGTTTCTTCTACTTCGTCTTTGATCACCTGTTTGTAGAGTTCGATTCAGCCCACTAAATTAGCCATTCCTAATATGAATCTAACTGGTACAACTAAAGGCTTCGTATAGCAGGTAGAGTGAACCACTTAGTTTAGAGGCTACACAATTCCTGTTCACAGACTCACGAGGGAAAGAACATAACAGATTTCAATAAGACCAAAGATTTCTGATATAAGCCTGTGACAATATTATGAAATTGCAGTTAAACTCTAGAAATTACACTTCTGCCATGAGGTGCTCACCTGATTAAGCATCCACTTCAAGCCAACTGAAGCGGTTCACTCATTTTTTTTAGCACTACTCAACCAGTCTAAGTTATAAAATTTGTCCAGTGTCTCAGAAATCATTGACACATTACTTCTCCTAACTTTGACAAAGAATATCTGACCGAGAATATTTCTCCATTTGAGTTAATGTTAGTATCATTGTTCACTATAGTCTCAGACCATCCACTCCCATATCTCTGCATTGACATAATGGCAAAATACCAGACAGGATTGCATGCACATTCGGCCCTAATCATGCACAGAAAATCCCATACTTAAATCTTAAAACTAAAACTAAACTCAGGAGCAATAAAATCAACTTCTTACCTGCTATAAGTTTTGGGGTTCGGATAGTGTATGCAAGGAATTACCCACGGCTCAATACTAGGCTCCGGACATGGCTTTTTAATCACTCCAACATTAAAAAAAATCCATCGTGCTGCTAGTGCTTATTTGCCTCAAACAAATTGAGCATATATACACAGTGACACACTACAAACCATTACAAACAACAATACAACCATACTCAACACCAATGGAGACTTCTTTGGTG